GTCGCTCGATCCTTCCCGTGAATCTTTCAACTCATCTCTGATTTGGCAGAGATGAGTTGGCCCCTACCAGAAATTCGTTGCGCCGCCCTTGGGGGCAAAAAACGGTGAAAGATATCGTACGAAACCAGAGGGCAGCACACGATGCTATTGCGCGACTCTACCCGTGAGCAATCTCTGTCTAGATACTTATGGTCTAAGACATGCCTTGGATGTTACTTAAATTGCTTGAATTCGTCAACGTGAAGAAGTTCATGTATAAATTTGGTCGTTGAGTGAAAAGTTAAAACTTATGCCGTTGTAAAGTACAATTGAAACCATGGCAACAATTATGAATTTTATAGAGCAACATATTCGAGAAGAAGTTTTATGTCTGATATGGTTATTATACTTTTGGGAGCTGTACATCAGTTTACGACAGGTTATTAGATTTTATTTGATGCAACCACTTATAAAATCTCGGTCGACAAATCATACCGATTAACAGGGAATTTATACAATGATTAACACATATTACGTCACCAGAGATAATTGAAGTCATTAAAAATTATTGAATGTCTGCAATTAATGGTTTAAGTCATACGCAGGTTATTTTACTTATATCGATATATTTTTACTCAAGTTTGTTATTGCTAGAATAAATATGTTTACTTTTTGTTGCGCTCATCATATAGCCATAAAAAATGCAAATGATAGCGTGGAAAGTATGGGAGAATTTTATTTTGAAGAGAAGAATCATAATATGTGAGGAACAAAGCTGGAGAGATTTAATTCCAATACCAATGTGAATTATTATTTCAGAGACATCTAATGCAAAAACTAGTTGATTTACCAGAATCATTAGACTCCATTATGCCAAAGGATATATATACGAGCACACGCCTTTATGCTCTGGATAAGAATAGTTTTTCTATTATTAAGAACTTGTTTTCTACCGTTTTGACTACGGTATGGTATTAAAATAATTTTTATCCTTCATTGATACGTAAAAGATTATACAAATCTGACTATTCCTTCAAAGATAATTACTGTATAACTTATATAATTTAAGTTCCTTGCAATGTGTGATCTATCATATTTAGCAAGTTTACAGTTATTCTTAATATTAATTAAATTTGATTGACTTGCTAGGTTTTGATCTCGATGAATGCTTTCTTCTATATTTGGGAGAGGGGCATTGGCTTAGCAGAAAAAATTGGAATTGATAAATCAAATGAGATGTTTACGAGTACTTTGTGTATGCTCATTATAAATGCATTTACAACTTTAGTGTATTTCCCATTTGAAGTGTATCATACGTTTGTCTTGGAAGAGAAGCATGGATTTAACAAACAGGCAAGGATACTGGTACATTAGAACATTTTAAACAGAAATATTAATTATGTTATTATATTACAGACAGCATTATTCTTTGTAAAAGATCAAGCGAAGATGTTTGTGGTTACACAAGTTATTACATTGCCACTCATTTGTGGAATTATATGGATAGTTCAACATGGAGGAGACTATTTCTTCATGTATTTGTGGCTATTTACAACGGTTATCTCATTATTTATGCTAGTGATATATCCTGAAGTAATTGCACCTTTATTTGATAAGTACTCTCCATTACCCGAGGGTGAACTTAGAAAAAATATTGAAGCTCTTGCATTATCGTTGGATTTCCCATTGTATAAACTGTACGTAGTTGAAGGATCAGTGAGATCTTCGCACAGTAATGCGTATATGTATGGTTTTTACAAACATAAGAGAATCGTTCTCTTTGATACGCTTTTAAAGGAATATTACAAGCCCGATGAAAAGGACAATTTTAAAGTTAAGGGCTGTGAAACTAATGAAGTTCTTGCTGTTCTTGCACATGAGTTGGGACATTGGAAATTTAGTCATACTCTAAAAGGATTTATTGCATCTCAGGTATAAAAGAAATGAACAAAATTTAATAATCATTACTTTGATTTTATTATTAATTATCTGATTTTCAGCTGATGTTGATGGTCAACTTTGTAGTATTTGCGAAACTATTTCGTTACCGGCCAATGTACAGTGCTTTCGGTTTTATGGATAAGCAACCCATACTTATTGGCCTTATTATTGTGATGATGTACATCCTTATGCCTCTTAATACGGTAATATGAAATACTTTCTTCGTAATTTAACAATTTAATAGTGCTAAATCAGCGCAATTAGTTTCTGAAAATAATTTATTTTTATTTCATAGTTGATGGCATTCTTGCTAACAGTGAATGCTCGAAAGTATGAGTTCCAAGCAGATAAATTTGCAAAGACATTGGGTCGGGCTGAATCCTTGAAGCGAGCTCTAATAACGTTGCAAAAGGATAATCTAGGATATCCTTTATTCGACAAGTTGTATTCTGGTTGGCATCATAGCCATCCACCACTACTTGAAAGATTGGAGGCATTAAATAAAGAAGATTGATTATTATTCGGCAAAATATTCATACAAAACGCACAGAAACTGGTGTGTGTGTGTGTGTAAGCTCGCATATTATTTTCAAATAATATTTCTGAATGCATTTTATATTTGGATGGTTACGATTCGGAGTGAATGAACGAATAAAATTGGTGGTCGGACACGACCAATTATAAACATTGTGAGTAAAATGTCAATATTTGACGAATATTAACCGCTGAAAATACCAGCATTTACATTCATAATGTTTAAATTTAATAATAATTTGACGACTTTGATGTTGACTTTGAAATGCGTTAATTAAAATTAATTTCTTTGTGTTCGTTGAACAGTTCATTCTAATCTTATAATAGGTACTTAGTCGTTCAGGGATTTCTCGCACTACACATGGTAGCTTCATTTATTTTTATTTATGAAAACGAATTGTAGAAAAATTCATTGGATTACTCGGCTGCATTCTCTTAGGAAATAATTCTCTCCCAAGATCTTTTCTCTGGAAAACAAACTTTCGTGGGAGTTTTGCACCTACCTTTTGAGGATTTGTAGATGAGAGCCTCTCGGTGTGCTTCATTGAAGTTCGTATACGTCAGTTGGTCAATTTATGGTTGATCAAGAAATGCAGGAGCGTTTCAGACAAGATCATGGGTCTCAAATCAATGCTACGTCTCTTTACAGTAATGTACATACTGCAGAACTAAACATTGCCCTCTGAAATCTGGCTTATCAATTTATCGATTGATTAATATGGTACCAATGAATCGGTGCATATGTGGAGAATATAGCTAAATGTTAGCCTGCAATTTTCAGATACTCTAGATATCCCTTTTCGTACTTAAAATTTGAGGCTTGGACCATCCGATAGTAGTGCGATATTTTAGTGGCGACGCCGTCATGGCGTTATTTACGTTCAAATATTCTATAAATGAATACTGAAGAAATGTTGATCCGTAGTTCAGTGAAAATTTGTTCACGGTTGCATTTTGCATTTACATAATTCTAAAACTAAAGTGCCGAATACATATTTAAGTTCCGTACAGAGTGCTAGTAAACAAAAATGTTGACAAAGCTGCATTGATTTTTACGTCATCTATGAGTATTGTCAGATTTACTCAACTTCATATTTTATACAAGTGACGAAAAAGTGACTCAACACTTTGTACTTACCTTCAGGGCTGTAAGAAGTTGAAGTATCGGTAGTTTGTAAGTTTCTTATTTTGGATTCAATGCTAAAGTCTGTAATGAAATGGATGTAAATGTTACATAAATACATAATTATATTGGTGCTTAGAAAGACCTTTGGTATGATTCAATTATTTTGTATTTTAATAGTTTAATAAATGAAAAGACTACTTTATTTACTTGAGAATTGCAGAAGCTTACTCTTTCATCTGTAAATAAATATCTATTAATTTATGTATGATCAGTTCAACGTGAAAAGTTACCGATAAGTTGTTATATCAGTAATGATGTAATTTATTATATCATAATTTGTTCTAATGTATAACTGAAGAATTTGGTTACGTGAATGAGGGTAAGTACATTCATAGAAGCACTTTTTATAAAATACCTCAACTGCTTTTTATTTCTTCATTTTATATTTTGGATACATTAGAGAACGAATATACATTTGTTTCCAGTAATCAAAATGAACAGCTCAGGGACTATGGAATTAATATGTCAAGTTTTAAGAATTTGTTGCCGAACCATGATTTATTCGTCAACGACATTAAGCCCACGTGAAACTTTAACATGATTTAGGACAGAGATCTAGCCTTTTTACATACGTACATGCGATTGCGTTTATTGCACTGTGACTTAAAGAAGTGGCCTTGAAAGTGGTGAGAAATCTCTTCCTTTGGACACAATTTTAAAATATACAATTTACACACAGTTTCGCTTCCGATAGATCATTTCGCGTCTCCCGAACTGTTCACTATATACATAATAAAAATGAATATCTACATTGGTCGTGCTCCGTGCGGTTCTAAGAGTATAGGGAAAAAGTTACCATACGCTGCAAGTAATATGTTTGTACACGCGAATAAGTAGACATCATCGTTATGCCGTTAAAAACCAAAAGGAAAAGAAATCACTACCAGTCCTGACGAATTTTCTACCGATCGATGTCACGACTTTTTACCCTGCTTTATAACAAGTTTACTTCAACAAGTGAAGAGCTACGTATGATCACAATGCACACCTGGAGGGAATACGGGGTTAGACGTTGCGGTCTACAAATTCTTTGGTACGTAGCACTTTCCCATATCATACTCTTAGAGGCAACTATGTATACTGGGGATTAGAACAAAGGTTAGGTAAAACATGAGCATTTAAGTAGACATGGACGTTCTCGCAAGAAATGGTTCCAACAATTTCGAAGAGCGGAAAGGCGTATGTATGTATATATACATCTTATTGCATGGGTTTGTCCGTAACGTATACTCGGCCTCGTCGACCATACAATGATCAGAGTCTTTACAGCAAGTAACGAATAAATACGAAATAATCCTTATTAAATACTAGTAATCATTCGAGAGCGTACCAAGGACTGTCTGGATTTTGTTCTTCGTGTTTAATACCTGTTTCTCTTTCGCATGCTTCGTGCAACCATGGTGAGAGGTACACTTACTTCTTAACCACGTTCGACAACTTGAATGCAGCAAGACAGCCAGCTGTACATGTTTATAACATTGGGCATATAATTTCATAAAAAAATTGTTCGATTATTCACACGTTCAGCTGTTTGAAATAGTGTCTACAACACGTTGTCATGAAGGAGGGCGGAGCGTCAACGTTGCGCAGTAGTTTCTCCTCGTACTCCGTCAGTCTTTTCAATGATACCTGATATTCGCGATCAAACGCACCTAAACACAATTTAACAAGCACTTATAACATTTGCCGTAGTTGGCATTACCCGGAGTATGTGACATTTCTTACCCTGATCTATGTTACTTCGACCAAGCACTGTGAATGCTAGGAACAAAATGTCTCGATAAATAGAAAAAGGAGCTTCCGTTTGATTTTTGTTTCTTTCTAAGGCCACTCTTTTTATGGGTTTTGTCAAATCGTTGAGTCGTACGTGTGATATCACTGACTGCATCATTCTGTAACATGTATGAAAAAATGTAACATTATATCTTTCGCATGGGAGCCAAATCTGTTCATCTCATCTGAAACATTACTAGAGGTGAATCGTTTTGAATGATTGAAGTCATTCTTCCTAGTGCAATTGTTATTGAATATTATTTGACGCGTGGCAACCGCTGGCGAGGTTTGACTTTTCTTACGTTCGGTCTTCTGCAGCACTTCGCCACTGAAGGTACATCGGTAATCGATCCATATGAAGTTTTTCGTTGTCCCACATTGTCCTTACGCCTACCAGGCCAGAATTACACTGCAATTCTTTTTCTTGTTCATTGTGTAACCAAAGATCAGGAAGGTGGCTGCTCATGTTGATTCTTTCAAAATACCACATTAAGTTCCAGTACACGATTGGGTGTTCCTGGATGAATCTATGTTTGGTGAGGCATGAGTCGCCTTCTTGACTGAGAACGTTCTCTAATTCCTTTCTTAAAACAAGAGGATTTAGATAAGGGACGGTAATAGGTTCGTCTAATTCTCTAGGCTGATCCGAGAGCTCGATTAAAGCTCCCGTCAGGGGATCGTTGCCCTTTTCACCTTCTTGGCGCCTAGGAGATAAAATGAAGTGTTAAAAATTTCACAATTATCGGGTTAGATATTGCCGTCACGACTCTACTAAATATTGACGTAGAAAATAAAATTATAAGTAACAAGAATGCCCTTCCGTTAACGCACCTATAATCCAATATCGTGACCGTTAAGAGAGGTACAGTAGCCTTGTCACAAAATTGGCATACTGTATTTAAATTAGAATCTTCAGGTTGCCAGCCAGCCATTATCTCTTCGTCGTAAAGAATTGTTAGACAATGATGGCATCTGCTAGCCGTCGAAAGCACAAGTTCAACAGCTAAGCGTTCTTCTAGGTCTCTTGAACCTTTTGGGTATAAGCTGTCCGATAGTTCGTACAAGGAGCCTAAATCAGCGCTTGCATCACCTAAAGGTGTACGAAGTAATGTATTTACATGTTAATTTGACGTTGATCGTAATCGATGTCACGTTCATAAAAATGTGTAAGGCGTACCGGACATTCTGCAAGGTATCTCATTGCGGTCCTGTTGAGACCCATCCGTGAGTGAATCTAACGATTCATGAGACACACCGTACGCCAATCGCTGTTCACGTTCTTTCAATTTAACAGGAGTGCTAGTTGCTGAAATGGCTTCCTTTATTTCATCGAATTTCTTTACGACAGTTGTAGCAGCTGATTTCAAACTATTTAAGCCACCCAGAATAAGTTCGTTGGATTTTTTTCCAGTTAAACTTGAAGGGCTGTAATTTAATATTTAATTAAATGATAACGTTAAATAATTTATATAAAAGAGGGCAAGAATGACAAGAGGCGGAGATGGCGCGTTAATACCTTACATTTGGTACTAATTATGAGGAATTTGCCATTATTAATAATAACCTACGGCAAACATAGATTTCAAGATAAAACTCCATGATTGGTGGGCAACATTTTTTAAGTGGTTAATCCTTTTGTTATGTTTATACGAATTAATACAATTTAGAACATACCTGATATAACTGGAGAGGCTAAGGGATTCGATGAGTTGATTAGATGATAATAATTCCTTATTTTTGGCAAACGCCAGTCCTCCGGTAGAATACCGTCTAAGTTAATATGTAAACAAATACATACACATGCAAAATAATAGAAAGTAAAAAAAAGTGTCAAGCTCAAACTATAACTAAAAATTTGTAAATATTAACAAAATAATTATAACATGACGCAGTAAATCAAAATGAAGCTTTAGTCAGTTTAGCGTTTCACGAGCACACTCTCGTTGCTTTAGTTGGAGATCTTTTGGTTCTTTAATTGCCCAGTATCTTTTTGCTTTAAATATGAGCTTACCCGAAACTGAGCTTGAGACTCGATCCTAGACTAGATAAACTAGATGTCACGCTGTCTTTATTTTGTGCCCAGAGACTGCTGATTTCTACTCTTTCCCTCTCTCTTTCTTGCTCTCCTTGTTGAGCAACGGAATGAGGCATTGTTTCACTTCTTTGCAAATGACCACCAATTCCACCTGCCTCTTCGACAGCTTGATGAAACGTTGCACTTCGGGGTAAAATATTGCTGGAAACATAATGCAGGATGACTATTTGAAGAATAAAAAACAATTTCGTATTGAAACTTTATTTTTTGTTTTTTAATTTATTCCGAGGTCAAAGCTATTTATTAAAACAATATACTATACTTTCTTAACTAAAACGTCAATGTTTAATAAGTTTCAAAAAAATTGATTTCTACCTTCTGAATAAAAGAGGGCCTCCAGGTCGTTCTTCGACAGTATTATTCACTACTGTTAAAGTACTTGTTGAACAAGTCGAATCATTTTCTTCAGAAGGAGAAACGATTGGCGTTTCATCATTGATTAATGCACCCAAAGGATCGTTTTCTGTTACTGGAGTTCGAACAGGACTTTTCAACGGTGATTCAATGCTTCGAATTAATCTGAAAAATAACATAATCCCTAATTATAAGTTTTATACTGTTTAAAAGAGAAAAATTTGGTTTTGTACACGATTATGCCGATTCATTTTGAAATAACGAACTAAAATGTCACCTGGGATTAGTAGGGGATCTGTCGAGTGCTTCCGGCTGGGATGTACTTAAGATTGCTTGATCTTTCACAATACTATTTTGACGAAGAAATTTGCTTTTCATTTCGACTAAACCAAAAGCTGGTAAATCTGGGACGGAACTGCCCTTTAGTGCTATTGACAGAAAATTTACAATTATAAGAACTAAAGTAATTGAAGATGAATATAACTATTAGGTTTATATTTACGTTCTCTCTGGATACTTTCCGTGTCTTGAGAGTGAGCACTATCCAAGCTGGATCGTGAAATGGCATGTTCTAAGCCTTGAATTTTCTCGTCGGATCGAAGTAAGTCCATATTGTTGCTCAATCTCCTTCTAGCACTTCTTTTTCCAGCCTTTTTAAATAAAGCCGCTCCAACAATAACGTTACGTAATTTATTCCACATTAACTGACCCGAATTTGTCATATCCGAAGGCCACGTTGCTTCGAGGACAGCCTAATGTCGATAAGAAAAATAGCAACAAATTGTATATTATTTAATTTCCCTGCTAATTAAATACACAATACTAGTCACGTAAATATGTAATAAGTACTGTGCAATTATTCCAACAGAGTTATACCTTATTATAAAATCCATATGTTAGGGCATTTGGCTGTACGCCGCTTCGTTTCATGTGAAATAGTAATTTAACAGCCAGAACTGGTTGTCCGTACATACCACATAATTGCATCATGGCTCTGTAACAAACCTACAAAAACACAGGTATTATGAATAATGATTCAACATTTAATGCAGATCGCACAACTTACCTCTTCCATTGGATCCAATCTTAGTTTTTGCATTTTAACGAGCAATTCATACGCTTGATGTAGAATAGCAGCCGGTTGGTTGGATACTTGGAGCATAGCTGGTAAGTGTAAAAACCAGAGGCTATAGCACGTACCAAGCAAACATCTGCCCCATCTATCTGGCATAGCAGCCTGAAATAATAATTCAGTACAGCGGCAATAGGCAAAACGTAACTTCGTTATTCATTAAATAATTTCCACTGTGATTGCACTTTCACTTTAAAAAGCGGTCATTAAATTAGACTATTTGGTTCTCTAGGTTATTCTTATTGTACTATTGCATGTACTTAGTTTTGTGATTAGTTTCTCAAAATTTAATCGATCTGAAAAAAAATCTCAATTTACTTGTTTTCGGGCCATTCTCTGAGCTACTTTAATTTCGTGCTTTGTCCTGCGAGCCATGGGACTGCCAGGAACCATACTGAAGGCACTCAAGGCTGGATTCTTTAAGTAGATATTTTTTTGGGGTCTCATTAAATCAGGATTTAATTTGAATGTCTTGTATACTACTGGCGGTTGATTGGTTCCTCCTTCAGGTGGAGGTATAAAGACTGTTCGTTCGCTATGCTGAGACTCATCCAATTCTAGTAACGTAACTAGAGAAAAATGTATTCATTAAAATAAAAATAATATTTAAAATAAGTATTACAAAATGATACAATTAGATGGTTTAAGTTCGTACCATTTTCCTCTTCTACACGTTCCGTACATTCATCAAAAAACGCTAGGCCTGCCATGTCCATATCTGACACAAAACTTCTTTCTTCAATAAATCTGTAAATAATGTCAGTAAATTGTTACCCACTTATAAAATTGCAATTACACCAGGGAATTAGGCGATCCTAATATTTCGTATTCTGGCGATATTAATCACCTAATGAACATCTGGGTTCGGACGAGCATGCTGTAGAATTTAGCGTGGGTTTTATCACGACTTCTTAAAAATGCCTGTATATTGAAAAGACTTGTTGGATCTGTTGATCCAACAGTAGGTGCTTTCGTAATTGGTAACAAATAAGCTCGATAGCCTTTGAGTATTAATGCTGTGAAACGAAGAAAAGCATCCTGTATTTCAAGCTCCAGTGCTTGTTCCCTCTGCTTCTGTTGGAACTCTTTGTCAACACTAAAATCTTCATCGTTCTTTTCTAAAATATATAATTTCATAAGAAAAGTACGTTTATTGTTAAATTATATTTCATCAAATAAATACGGACCTTTTTGAGAATAAGACTTTCCCAGAGAAATTAATTTAGAGTACAGAAGTTCTAAACGATTCCTAAGCATTCTGGCTGCTTTCTTCGGTAAAAGTTTTACGTTCAAGTATTTTTTATCATCACAAATCGCAATATTATTTGTATCTAGATTGACACAATTGACATCAGACGGCGGATCATAGAGATCAAAGAATCGTGAATCGACTCCGATTAAGAATGGTAGCGGTGCATGCAGTACCTAATTGCATGTTAAAAATGTCATTATTGAAAATTGATTGTTTTTAAAATAAATATTTTTAAAATATGATATAATAAAAACTGACCTCTGCCAATCCCAATGGACATAATGGAATATAAGGGCATTGCCATTTAAATGGAAACAAAATCATAGCGATAGCTTCGCTCACAGAAGTCAGTACATCTGGTCGTAAGGAATGCACTAATATTTTCTGCTCCGTCAATATGAGTAACAATATCAACAAGCAATTGTCTGGTCCAAGATTAATTAGCAGTTGTTTAAAACTAGCTCCAGATCTGGGCAAAGCCAAGTCTTCGGGTTGCGTCAAGATCAATCTATCCACAGCACTAAGTTGTACGAGAATTCTTGGTCTTTGTGGACTAGGAAATGGTATGTCACATAGAAAGTAAGAAATATACTTTTCTATCGGGACATTCTGTGGTTTTCCATTGATCATGCTATGCAAAAAGACAAGAAATTTCTCAAACGTTTCAAAGAATGGCCAGTGAGATAGGATACAGATCGACTTGCTAATGTTGAGTGACTGACTATTAGAGTCTGTATATTGTAGTTTTTCAAGTTGCACTGAGTTCAGCTTTTTTAAAATATTAGAATTTCTTGAACCAGTCATGTTATCTGCCGTTGTCTCCATAGGGTTTATAATCTCATCTAAAATAAATACATTTTCTAATGAATAAAAGCATGGTGGAAAAATAATTAGTCGAGTTAAGTGTTAAAGTCAGTTGCTCTATAGTATTATAGAGCTTAATTGGAATGGAATAAATAGAAAACTTCATACCGCCATTAGCATTCTTCATTGTATCATCTTCGCTGTGCTCATTCTGTATACAATTTGGAATGTTAGTGTCTGGGATAATTTCTTCATAGAAAGTGATGGCGGACCCATATATTTTTTGAGCTGCATCCGCAACAGTTAAAACAAACGTAGAAAAGACGGGTTTCGGTTTCGAAGCCATTTTTGGCCAACATTCAATAGTGGCCCCCATTGGAAGGCAAAACATAGCCACTGAATTAGGAAACCCAAAACTATCGTAATCAGTATTTGGATATTTATACAGTATAGCTGGCTTGAATGATATAAGATTTGCACGATTCATTGATTTCTTGTAGCATAAAAACACATCACTCCCAAGCATGCCCTTATTCAGATTCTTTCCAATAACACAAAAAGCATGTGGTGGGGTTTCACCTTTATTTGTTAAAATGACACATATGTCAGTGACAACTAATGAGTTACAAGGCATCTTTGGATTCGCCCGTCTGTATGTCACAAAAATTTTAGATGTGGAATTATTAACATTTGCGACATGTCCAGTCGGTGTTTCTAAAACCATTTTTGCATCTTTCATTATATGTTCCTTTCCTTCGTATATGACACCTGGAAGAGACATTTATAAACCAGAGATAAAAATGATATGAAGAATGTTAGTATGGATGCAGAAATTATACCAATATCAACTAATGGTGGTTTATCTCGTCCTCTTCTGTAGCATAAATAGCATTCATTTGTTCTCAAACTTCCATGATTTAAGTCGGCGGGCAAGCCTGATACCGTGTACTCCAATACTGTGTAGCCTTCGGGACATTGTTCGCCAAGAGCAGGAAATATTACAGCTAGATCCGTAATAGGAGCTTGCATGTTCATATCCTTTAGATGTGTCCCTTCTTGACACCAGTCTTCCAATTCGTTACTATTTTCATTTTCTTGGCTATCGTCATCGTCTTGGCCAGGTAGCCCAGCGATCACAAAGTAATCAGCTACTCTTCGTTCATCCATCCTGAATTAGTTATTTGGACAGAATTTAACACAAAACTTTATCGTCAAGGTTGAAATATCTTGGACTCGTTAATCCTTCTCAGCATAGTCTCTTTGCATTGGTGAACTTATGACAGTGCATTGACCGATATTTAAACACATGGCACTGTATTCGTCATTTAATGTAGCACGTCCACTTGATGCATCACTTCGATATCACAAATATTATTCTCAATTCTTTGAGTAATGAATCATTAGTAATTTGTTAGAATAGAATGTTCAATAATATTTTAAAAAAGATAACTTCCTTTGCTTCGTCATCAATTACGGTATGGTTTATTTATAAGCTTTATTCATGAATTTAATATATCATACTTTGTTACTTTCTATGTATTCTGTTAAACAATATGGGTTACACGTACTAATTATTATATAAGGAAAGTTGGTATACTGTTTAAGTAATACTTTTTTCTGCAGCGACCATTTAAATCAAAACATTATCTGTCGCACTTATTTTAGCTCGTTAGATATAAAAATAAAATTCGATAGTATCCCAATCATGATATACATGTCAAATGGAACGTAGCTTTAGACACACTGCAGAATATCAAAATAAACAGACGAAACAAAATCAACGTAAACCAAAATCAAGGCATCGATTTAAATTAATCACCCACAAATGACAGATATCTCAGCACGTAGTTGTATGAATATTTACGTGTGTGTATACGTATAACTTTTTTTTATCCACGTACATATATATTAATTTAATATATTATCACATTACTTCCTTCATACCGTAAACGTAAATCATTGTAAATATTACCTATATAGAGTAGCTTAGTAATTTTCTAGGCACACGAATCACTGCGTAAAGAAAATAGCTTATCGATGTTCCTGTTCCACGGAATAATCCTTCATTAGGACCACACTGGGGTTATGCATGAAACGAGTTCCTTGTTTAAGAAAAACACTTAAAGAAATGTTAGGTTAGAATGTCACACACCGCGGAACTTTGGGGGAATCGTATCACGTCTTGGCATCCCCATTAGACAATCAACGAGTTTAGGGTCTACTTCTTGTCCGTACTCTCGTTAATGCACTAAAATAGACTCAATTCGCTTTTCTAGTATCGCAACGTGTGGTTGAGTTAAAAATAATAGAAAAATTCTTGTTTCGTGGACGGCCATGTTTCTGGGCGGCAAAATGGCCGCCAGGGCAAGGTTTAATTTAAAAAAGAAATCCACTTGCCATTCGGGCTCTCCTGACTCTTAGATGACCTAATAATTATAGAAATATTGATAAGAATTTTAGTTGTAAATATTCACTTCTGAGTTTCAGCAACTGGAGTCTTTTATTAATTTTGAGTTTTAATATGCAATTTAGCAGGAATCAGAAATTGGAGCTACTCGGTCGGTAAACAGGGCACTCAATTTTTATTAAAATAAGAAAGGAAGTCAAGTTTCAGACATATTGGAATTTAATCTAATTTGGTTTAAAATGTAATATATTGGGTACACATTATACTATAATGAAAATACACGTTATCGGTAGAAAATAGATTTGCTAATTATGTATGTACGCTTGGTTTTTCTATTTAGCAGAGATGCTCATCTCTGTATTTAGAATAACTTTCCTCGAGAGAATTCCATTTTATCGACGGTGCTAAAATGCGGTAGTTGACGGTGGTGGCTTATCTGCGCTTACCGACACTGCTCACTTTTGATAGTAAGGGAAGAACACTCGTGGCGCCCTCTTTGACTTTACCCTTCACTTACCTTATTTATTTTATCCGCAAATGATACCAGCAAAATTACAACGTGGGTGCCCAAGAGTTGAGTTATACTTTATATACAATTCTTTACAAGCTACGGAAATTAATAAAAAAAATGATGAATGTTCCCTAGGGAAAACAAAACCTAGATGGAAGGAGATACCCAATAACATAGCTTGACGTAGTCAGTATGACGTCAGGTGTAACGTGTGTATCGCAAGTTCAAATTCTGAAGGAAGGCAAGGGTGGGTACGGTTTTTTACGCAATTTTTTTTCGCCACGTTTTACAGTTCATAGCAATCGCACAAAACACATTGCAGTTATGTAATTCTTTATTATGGTTTCAGGTTTTCATTATTTGTTTTACCGTCCATAAGGTGATTTTAATAATTAATGTGATAGTAATTAAAATCGTACCGTAAGATAACAGTATCAATCTTTCTTATCATTAGTATTATTATTTAGTTACCCATGTTGCTACCGTTATCTCATTCATTGCAACAATTTTAATTATAATCATCATTTTGAGAATGAGCTTGGAAGTTAAAAATCTCTGGTTCAAATATTTGTCCCGTACATACAAAGCCTCCAAGAAGCGTATAACATCGAAATTGTGCACGGGCCATGCCATGTTGGTTTTAGCCCATGAGAAATAAATAAATTTTTAATGAAAAATGAAATTTCATGAGTTGCAGAATCTACTTTAGGGTATCCGTATTCACGTGGTGGAATTTGAAACGAATCGGTACATCCATTTCGGAGAATACTTCCACCAACGACTTGACTTTTCAGATATATATATAGACTACTTCATATCACCTTAAAAAGAGGCATGATAACTAATTCAGTTTTCTATATTTATTTCCTACTGTAGTTTTACAATTTACAATCAAAATGTCATCTGTTGCCTGTCCGTCAAGCTTGATAACAAAATTTTCTCCGTTGTAACTGGTCCATCTACGAAGAAAATTGATATCAGTTTCAATAATTATTATTTATTTCACAGATCATAAAATTAGCATACAGAATGATTCATTTAACTTAGTTATTCCAATCGTTTCCGTCAGGAAGATGCCTGAGGATAAAATTGTTTGATTTGAAAGGACTGATGATATAAGTGACAGAAGATTTATTTCAAAATTGTCTCTACTTTTGTATCGACTAAAGAAATACAAGCAATTGCTCAAGTTAGACAAATAATCCTGTATATAGCAATATTTTGTTTGGATAGTTACGATACTTTATGCTACAACATTTTTGAATGTGCAATGAATATTACTTTAAGCTATTTTAAATGTTAAGGTGAAGTGAAACCCCCTCAAATCAGTCAACTTGAAAATAACACTTTTTTTTAAGAGTATTGGATAGAACCGTCTGAAACTTTGACACGTGATTCGTGAGCACCTAGAAATTATCCTAACACATTCAAAATTTACATTTTTGAAAGAAATTGTTTAACTTAGCCCAGACCAGAGCCAAAACGGCGTCGAGCTCTCATATTTCGATCGATATACAATTATCTCTAATATGAGAAACGAAAGAGTCAGAATAATTGTACGACAATTTAGAACACTTTGGTAATCGATAAACTCGCATTTGAACGGGATAAAGGCAAAAAAAGCTCATGCTAAAACGATGGTAATACAAGGTCTCGGAGTGAAAATTTAGTTGACATGGAAATGACAGATGGCGCAGAGGGTTCCTCTGCAGTCAATTAGGGCCCCATAAAGCATGAATCCATGGGATTTCTGGGGTTTCACTTCGATTTCTTTATATTTATTGTACGAAAACGACAGATGCAGTATGCCATTTAATACAATACTCAATACAATTCGACACGGCTGTCCATATAAAAACGAACGTCGGCTATGTGGGCAATTAGAAAAACCTTTTTTTACCGACGTCGACCAAGTTCCTCGACGTGTTTCACTTCACCTTAATTAAAGCTAGGATAAAGCTTTATCAGTATACATATATACTCACCCAATGGATACCACGTGTCTTCGTTACCGGAATCTGCTCTTGCCGAATTTAGAGCAGCTCGAATCGCGATAGGTATCGCACAGCTCATGCAGAGAGGAGGTTCCCCAGTTGCTGCAAAGAATAGCATCGTTTTTCAATGTAAGGAATCAGAGTGAAACTTTAAATCCACAATGCATGCGAAACGTAAATAACGTTACCCTTCGATCGAAGAACTCCCACAGGATTCGGAGCGTTTCTGCGGAACGAAACTCGAAAATCGACGGGAATATCTTTCGCCCCGGGAGGTTTGTAATTCTAAAATGATGTACAACAACGACATTGAAATTGCAGGATAATCGTAAATGATGGAAGCAAGTGGTATAATATTTTCTTTACAAGCCTTAATAATTTATTATATGAATTAAAATCGATCGTTATGCTCCTATCTGAATTGCATATGTTGTACGGTGAGTATTCATTTTATTTTACCGATCATGAACTGGTCAAATTCTACTTTTATACAGTTCTTGTAATCTTGAACAGCTTACCCAAGTTCTATGGTTGGTAAGTAGTGCTGTGTCCGGGTCGTAGATCAATTCCTCGGATGTCCAGTAACCGATTCCCATTACGAAGGCACCCTCGACCTGGCCTAAATCTATTTCAGGATTCATGCTGATGCCGACGTCTTCCATTAGATCCACCCTCTGAATGACGTACTGACCGGTCAATATGTCTACTTCAACCTCCGCAATTGTTACTCCATATATACCATAGTTTTTCACGTTATCCTGCGACGTGAACCTGAAATATTCACATGTTCAGCAAGAATTCAACATTTATAATTAAACGATTGGATATGTATCTGATATTTCAACACAGTTTGTTTAATTCCGCTTTAAGGTGAAGTGAAACCCTCCCCCCAAATCAGTCAACTCGAATAAGATACTTTTTTTTAGGGTATTGAATCGAACCGTCTGAAACTTTTATACATGATTCGTGAGCACCTAGAAATTATCCTGACACTATCAAAATTCAGATTTTTGAGAACAATTTTTTAACTTAGCCTAGACCAGAAACAAAATGGCGTCCAGCTCTTATATTTCGATCGATACAGAATTCTCGAAGGCTCTAATATGAGAAACGAAAGGGCCAGGACAATTGTATGACAATTTAGAACACTTTGGTAATCGATAAACTCGCATTTGAACGGGATAAAGGCAAAAAAAGTGTCTCATGCGCTGCTATGCTAAAACGATGGGAATACGAGGTCTCGGAGTGAAAATTTAGTTAACACGGAAATCACAGATGGCGCAGGGGGTCCCTCTGCAGTCAATTAGGACCTCAGAAACCATGAATCCAAAGGATTTCTGGAGTTTTACTTCGATTTCTTTCTAATTATTGAACGAAACCAACAGGTGGAGTATGCCAATTAATACAATACCCATGTAATCCGACACAGCTATTAATATAAAAATGAACGTCGGCAACGTAGGCATGTAGAAAAATCTTCTTTACGGACGTCGATGAAGTTTCCGACCTGTTTCACTTCACCTTAAGAAGACTAGTTTTATACGTACATGTAGCGGGCACATAAATTCACGTCTTTCAGATGTGCAGCTAAAACTAACTCCTTCCATGTTGGATTTTTCATTTCCTTTTTTATCGGCTCCAATCTAGACAGTAATTCCTTGCACGCCATTAGTGTTGCCTAGAAGTAAATGACAAGTTTGATTATTCAGAGCCACTTCGTGATTTTTAATGTCCAGTTATGATAACATATATATAGAGTGTTTTAAAACTCCGTAGACATTTCGATGGCCCTTTACAGGTAAACGATGTATTTTGGAATATATATACACATATAAAATATATATTATTCATTTATTAATATATATTATATATATTGAATTTTTATATATATATAAGTTCATGGAATTTTGAGACACTCTATATATTTTCGTTTGCCGGAAAATGAATCGACCATACATATGCACAGCATTCGCTGGTTACGCTGCCCCCGGTCACAGAATTATTGGGAGATACTAAATTATTGCTGGGTTTGACTGAGATCATGTCCAAATCAATGCCTAACGTATGGGCTGCTACTTGAGCAATCTGAAAAGTCAAAGAAGTGGTATAATGTTACGGCTTTATTCTTAGAGCAAGATGACACGACCCCACGTACTACATGTTAGTACTTTTATCATATTCATATAATATTTACCTTTGTATGAATACCTTGTCCGCATTCGATTCCACCGTGTGATACAGATACAGTACCATCGCGTGCATAAATCGCAACCATGGCATTGAATTCACCCCAATACATAAAACTATAATTCATTAGTACGAGGGAGAGTCCTTTCTTTTTCCAACGATTTTCCTAAAAACAAATTTTCCATTATATAACGCTACGTTAAACCTAAAGGTTATTCTTTCAAGCAAAATAATTTGCCAAATATCGATATCACGCGTTATGATACCACGTGATTGTTAAATAGTCCGCATAACTGTATACGGAAAAAAGTACAATCACAGAATTGCTCTTACTGTTTTAACAAACGACTTATAAATGGCTTTAAATAGTATTATTCTCAAATCGGTGTTTTGGTATTGATGAATATTATTCTTATATAGTTTGGGCACTACGCGTTTACGTGTTACAAATATCCTTTGAAATGCGGTACACATTATTCCATTCAACATCGATGTGCATAAATACTAAGTGTGATACCCGTTCCTGCAATTAAATTCGCATTTGCGGCAGGTGTACCTACTTCGTTGAAGACGTTAACAGCTTTTTTCCTGGCTTCGTAATCGGCTGATTTTTTCAAGTCCTCTATCATCGGCTGCAAAACTGCCTTATCCTCTTCATTCATGTTCGCCATGCGGACGTCCAGAGGGTCCTTGGACACTGTCCTGCCGATGTGCTCCATTATGTTCTCAGCCATCGCTGTGCCTTCGGTGGATCCTGAAAAGAAGAAGTGCTGGACGCATCGACGGGATAATCTTCCTAGGGAACCGAAATCGAGACGAAATCCAGTACTACGTTGGAAGCGATTTCGCGACTTTGCGAATTCACGACTGCAGCCGTATTTACTTTGTCGACAATCCAGTGGATCTTCGAGATGGTAAAAGCGCCCCTTCCTGGCGAGATTTGCACACTTGGCGAATTGAATTCCCCGATTACGTTAGTAATTTTTCCAGAAATCGGCAAGCTATTCAAAAATCAGCTTGGAGTAACGCTGAATTATCGACTATTTTTATGAATTACTTGATTGACGTGATAACGTTAATTGCATACGTGTAGAATTGACTAGCGTAACGTCTCCATAAATCTATCGATTTGACGAGGGACTGAAAAGGAGTAGCTAATAATTTTCAAACAATTTTCATAATTGATTACTTCATGTCTTCAGGGAAACAGTTGTTCTAAAATTCATGTGTATCTATGTTATTACTATCTTTAGTAACGGTTAATACTTCAAAAAGACAATAACGTAGCAACTGAAACGTTTCTGAGTAGGTTTCATTATAGAACGGAGTATTTCATTTTTTAAGGCGATGGAAACAGTTAGCCTATATACATATATCTGAGACGTCAAATCGTTGGTGAAAGTATTTTCCGAAATGGATGTACCGATTCGTTTTAAATAGTACTACGTGAATCCACAGACCCTAAAGTAGGTGCTGAATCTCATGAAATTTCATTTTTCATAAAAAATTGATTTACTTATCATGGACTAGAACCAACATGGTGTGGTCCGCGCATGATTTCGATATTTTACGCTTCTTGGAGGCTTAGAACCGAAAATTAAGAGTTTCAAGACCTAGCTCGAACAATTTAGAACACCGTAGAAATGGAATATTACAGAGTCAGATGAGAAAATATGGAAAATGCTTTCACCAGCGATTGCAAGAGAATGCTAGCCTACATAGTCGTTACAATAATGAATTCGCGGGATTTCGACAATTTTACATCTATCTTTTCATCGTTACTTTACCGAAATGACATATGGAACGCTTCAGTTCGTATAATTCTCAACGTAGATTGTAAAATACTTGAACATAAATATAAATGTCGATACCGTGACGCTCCAGCTTATGTTCCCACTTGAGTATTCAAAATGACGTTACCATCAAAAAGGGTATAAATGAAGTTTATTTTATTGACGTCGATTAAATATTCTCAGCGGCTTTTGTATCATCTTAAGTTATGAAATTCAAATTAAGCAGGTAGTCAAATTGCAGCATTTTTGTTTTACTCCCTCGTTGCTTTTTAACTGGAGCTCTGCAATAAGTATTCTCAGATCTTTTCATATCATCTTCAATTACAAAATTCAAACTAAGCAGGTAGTCAAATTGGAGCATTTTTGTTTTACTCCCCCGTTGCTTTTTACCTGGAGCTCTGCAATAAGTATTCTCAGATCCTTTCATATCATCTTAAATTACGGAACTCAAACTAAGCAGGTAGTCAAATTGCAGCATTTTTGTTTTACTTTCTCGTTGCTCTTTACCTGGAGCTCTGCAATAAGTATTCTCAGATCCTTTCATATCATCTTAAATTACGGAACTCAAACTAAGCAGGTAGTCAAATTGCAGCATTTTTGTTTTACTTTCTCGTTGCTCTTTACCTGGAGCTCTGCAATAAGTATTCTCAGATCCTTTCATATCATCTTAAATTACGAAACTCAAACTAAGCAGGTAGTCAAATTGCAGTATTTTTGTTTTACTCCCCCGTTGCTCTTTACCTGGAGCTCTGCAATAAGTATTCGATGGCAAGTCCGTCTTAGCTTCGGAGCCCTCGCAATTCCATGTCTCGTTGTTGTAACAACTGTAGAAGTGAGAAATAACGGACTGGGCGTGGACTTCGTTGAAGCAGGAACCGGCATTTCCCCAATGCTTCGAGTTCAAGTATTGTATCTTGCCGTCCTCGTCGACTTCGACATCGTACTGCTGGAGAGTAGAGTATCTCTTGCCGATGGCCATCATGTTGCTCTCGATGCTCATCACGAATCGAGCTGGTCTATTGAGCTTGTGACACACCAAAGCACACGCACACGCGATTTGCGTGGCTCTCGAGATTTTTGCTCCGTATCCTCCGCCGATGCGGCGCACGCAGATGTTAATGCTGTAAAAATATGAAAAAGTGTAAAATCCACGCTCTAAAAGAAGTCTAACATTTTCGTTATTTCTTCTGCGTAAAGAAAAAGAAAAAACGAATTGACAGAGTTTAAGCTTTTGTACCCTAAATCTTGGGTAGAATACGTATTTCGAAACTTAAGGTGAAGTGAAACCCCTCTCAAATCAGTCGACCCGGATAAGACACCATTTTTTAAGAGTATTGTACCGAACCGTCTGAAACTTTGACACATGATTCGTGAGCACCATGTACTGTGACATTTGGTAAAAAAGTTTTACCTGAGATTTTAATGATTCTACTATATTTGAAAAAAATAGCTGAGTCGAGCTTGTCATAGGAAGGGAGCAATTTCAGCTATTTTTGCAATTAATTGAATAAAGATAAATATATTTGGACACATTTTTGTACATCGTAGGTGTTTGGAGGGGATACAATTATCGAAGGCTCTAATATGCGAAACGAAATTGTCGGGACAATTGTACGACAATTTAGAACACTCTGGTAATCGAGAAACTCGCATTTGAACGATATAAAGGCAAAAAAGGTGTCTTATACGCTGCTATGCCAACACGATGGTAAAATCAGTTCAGGATCTGGCTCGAACAATTTAGAACACCGTAGAAATAGAATATTACAGAGTCAGAGGGGAAAATATAGAAAATATTTTCACCAACGATTACAAGAGAATGCTAGCTTGTCTCGTGGGTTGCACGTGTCTTTAGAAAAAAAATTTAGTTCCAGCTAAACGTCACAGATGGAGACGTGGGCCCCAAAGAGTCGTTAAAGTAATGAATTCACGGGATTTCGACAGTTGTACATCGATATCTTCATCATTACTTCATCGAAATGTCATGTGGAACGCTTCAGTTTGCACAATTCTCAACGTAGGCTGTAAAGGTGTTCAACATAAATATAAATGTCGGTAACAGGACGCGGCAGCTTATGTTCCCACTGGAGTATCCCAGACGGCATTATCACCAAAAAGGGTACAGATGATCCTCGATTGAAATCCTCGAAGATGATGAGGTATTTTATCGTCGCCGATTTAATTTCTCAGCGCCTTTCATATCATGTTCACGAATTAGATTGACATTCGTTGAAATTCGTTTCCGCCTAGGCGTTTTCTCCGCGTGAGCAGGTGCGCATGAGATTTGCGCAGCTGTAGAGGTTTTTGGGCCATATCAAACTCCGAGACGTGGCCTACGAATGTTGATGCTGCGACGCAAAACGCCGAGCGAACATTTCGTCGGGCGTTGGTACGTGGCCAATTAAGGGGGGCTTTTCGTGGACATCGTCCACGCATCGTGTCCTCGCACGTGTTCCACGAGTCACGGTGTCGTTCGTTCTTGGTTCTACGTGGTCGAAATTCTCCCAGCAGATTTGTGTTACGCGTCAGACCGTTGTCCAGCGTGTGCTGGATTTGCGGAACATGTGTACCTATGTCTCCTGCGGTGTTTCTTTAATAGGATATATATATNAATTAAAAAAAAAAATGAGTTTATCAGTTATTTCACGCCATATTATTTCAAACGAAATTAATTCAATGTAATTTCGAAACAAAAAATATATGACTTATACCACTTTCATAATTATGGGCACATATATATAGGCTGACTCTTTCATATCACCTTAAATAAAGAAGTTTTGTATTGTACCAGTCTTTTGTTTACACGTATCTTATTCCGGTTAATTTTGATGAATTGTGATAATAAGTTTCAATTTAATTCCAGGGAAATCTATTAGAATATCGTTGTGTGAAATCAAAAGGGCGTCGTGGGTGCCCAGAGTTGAAAACGTTCCCTCGGAACATTTCCTTTTTAAGGATAGTACTTTGCCTATAATTCAAGTAGCCAATTATGAGGAATCTCGGACTACTGGACCAATGGAAATATTACCTATTATTCCGGATATCGAGGCAATTGGCTATCGATATTTGGGTTAAGTCCATCCACTGCGATGCCGGATATACGTCCATGCCGTCTTCAACGGGTATACAGACACAGCTCTGAGTTTCCATAGTAAAGTGGTACTGACTTCCACACTCGAATTCACCCTTTATTACGTGCTTCGTATTGTTTCCTGCCGAATTGAATAAAGCGGAATTAAAAGAGACCCTGTTCCGTTTAAATGCTTCGACAGCAGCTACAAGTATGTACATCTGCAAACAAAGAAGCCTTCTTTGTAAATAAAGTGCTGGCAGTATACGATGGGAATGCATTTCCGTTCATTAACGTACCTACAGATTAAAAGACATTTTATCTTCACTCTTATGTTGGTCAATACGCCGAAATAATTCATTCATGGGGTGATACATAGCATTTTTTAGAATTATTTTTATTTTACTTCTATGTATCGGGGTTAGGCATATATTCGTGCGGTATTTTTTTCGATTAAGATGACATGAAAGGAGCTGAAAAATTTAATTCGAAGTCGACAAATTAAAATTCATCCGTACCCTTTTTGATGGTAACGTCATTTTCAATACTCAAGTGGGAACATAAGCTGGAGCGTCACGTTATCCACATTTATATTTATGTTGAAGTAGTTTACAATCTACGTTGAGAATTATACGAACTGAAGCGTTCCATATGTCATTTCGGTAAAGTAATGAAATAATCGATGTAAAACTGTCGAAATCCCGTGAATTCATTATTCTAACGACTGTTTAAGACTAACGTCGCCATCTGTGACGTTTAGCTGCAACTCAATTTTTGCTCAAAAAACACGTGTTAGCTACAAGACAAGCCAGCAATTCTCTTGCAATCGTTGATGAGTATTTTCCATATTTTCTTATCTGATTTTGTAATATTCCGTTTGTATGGTATTTTAAATTGTTCGAGCTGGGTCCTGAAATTCTTCATTTTCGATTCTAAGCCTCCAAGAAGCGTATAACATCGAAATCGTGCACGGGCCACGCCATGTTGGTTTTAGCCCATGATAAATAAATAAGTTTTTGATGAAAAATGAAATTTCATGACTTTCAGGACCTACGTTAGGGCCTCCATATTCCCGTGGTAAAATGTCAAACGACTCGGATCCTCTAATTCGGAGAATACTTTCCGGAACGATTGGACGTCTCATGTATATATAGGTTGATTCTTTCATATCATCTTAAATCATACAGAAAATCACACGAATTTATGCCTCAACCTAATAACTTAAATAAATTGTTGTAAATATAAATGCGGGTAACAAAATGGCGCCAATCAAACCTCGGGATTTCGCAGGGAAGTTCGCAGTTTGCAGGATCCTAGACTTGTCCCCGGAATTGATGGCGTCCCTGTTGGTAATGATTGGCTTATTCTTCATAACGTCCGAGTAAATGATTTTCACCTTTTTTGCAGCTTCATTAGCGAGAGTGTGTGTTCGCGCGGCAATTATTCCCAACGGCTGCCCATTAAACAGAATTTCTTCTTCGGCGAGCACCTGAAATCATTGGTAAGAGATCTCAGCTTTGAATGGCCCAGGAGTTATTAAAAATTTATACCGGTTGCGATAACAGAGAAATCGTGGAAAGAAGTCTACGTGGGAACGGCATTGTTAAACGAGGTTCTGACATATTGTAATTACCGGCTCGTCACACATGAGGAGAGGTAGCTGCATTACGGCGGAGATGAAAAGATTTTTCCCAGGAAAGTCTTTGTAGGTAAAGAATGCCTCCACCCCATCCATCTCCTGTAATCAAATTCACGCATTTCAAATGCATGTCTACCACCTTATGATAATTTAAAAAAAGCTCTTCTGCATATTCCACATATTCATAATCGGTCAAATCTGTATCGTAACATGAATGTTTATGTTCAAGCTTTCTTAAAACGATTATTCAAAGTGCAAGATAGCAGACTCGGAATGTCAAACACTGTAAATCTATGATTATATCTATGATCATATTTACGATCATAACACAGAGTCCAGCAGGGGCATAATAGCGACCTGTTCCTCCATATCGAAACGTTACATTTAACGTTAACCCGTTCTTAATTCTCGTACATGCAATCGATCTGTTTAACACAGCTTTAGTAATCGTTGGTAACATCCCTAGTAGCACAAAATATTTGTCCTATATTTTCTATATATTTAACGAATATCGTACATTTTGTAAATATTTAACAGACATTTGAAATATTTGCAAGACGTTTACTTTAGAATATTGTCTCTATAATATTTATATAATATTAGCTCCATGCGTTTTCATAATATTTTTCTACCAGATATACAAAACATTTCGTTTCATTTTAATACAAGTATTTTTTAAATATTATCTGCCGAATATATTGTAAACGTTTTAAAAATATTTAAAATCAACATCACACGTTTCGCTCCCATAATGAAATGGCGGGACGAAAATATTACAAAAATTTCTTGTGTTTTTTGGTCCCAAACGAAGTGTCCGATAATAATCGTGAAGTAAAAGAAATGCATTTTTATTATATGTTCATAAATTAAAAAATATAATCTCTATATATGTTTAAAAATTATGGAAACTAAATATGCCATTGAGATTTTCAACAAATATTTCAGATATCTTCGAATGAAATCTGATCGAAAGAAAGATTTAGAAATTATTCTGTGCTACTAGGGATGGTTCTGGACACAATATTTTCAGAGGAAATTTCGGCGAAAGGCGGCAAATCCTAAATATTGAACATGCATGTTTATGGAATACATCTCGGTTCAGCAGGAACGTAATGGCGGCCAATTTCGCCATAGCGGAAGATTTAATTTAACATGGCTCTGTTCGCAATTCCCGTATATTCATCGCTTCGAAAGAACTTCGGTAACGTGGTTTCGGATGTGGGATTTTTAGAAAAATATTGTTTCGAGCACGGAAGGTGGATGGAAGGTATTCAAAATGACGTACAAGGGCTTCCTGCGCGTCGATGGACTCGATCTTCCCGTTGGGAACGTCCACGAGCACGAAGGCGCAATACACTTCGTTTGGTTGTGGCGGAACGTCATTGATGTATTGTGCCTCCCCGGAAGTCTGGTAAATGGATTCCATCTTTGGTATGGGTTTGTTCAGCGGCCAAATGTTTCGGTCCGTGTCATAGTCTTGCTTTCCAGACGACAGACCGCGATCGAGAAGAGTGCCTCCACTGCGAATTTTCGAGTCGACGTTTTCTGGCTTCAGACTCAGAACGAACTAAATGAAATTAAAATCAAATTTACACCAATCTCGGGCACAATCGAAAAAATAAAATTTCATGAGTTTCAGGATCTACTGTAGGGTCTCCGTATTCACGTGGTGAAATTTGAAACGAATCGGTACATCCATTTCGGAGAATACATGCACCAACGATTTTACTTTTCAGACATATATATATATATATATATAGGCTGACTCTTTCATATCATCTTAAGGGTAGGGATTATGTATCGATGTTATCCTTCATGCCTTCTTCAATTTTCACATCAGTTAAAACGAAACCATGGCACTAAAATGTGAAGAATATGACACCTTCTCAATATTATCTGTATAATTAATATTTGGGTAATTACTTGGCAAAGAAGTATAAATGGAAAAAGGAGAATCAGTTCGGGTTCAGACAGACCCAAAAAGATATAAAGGTTCATAAGCTGTTTGTGCTCACGATTCCCGGAAAAATGAAATATCGGGAAGGAAAAGTTATTTTGAGACGATGTGTCGGAAATCACCTCCACCCTTTTTTTGCGCACCTTGTAGAAGAGCCCTTCGGCGAGTAATTTCCTGAAGTTGGGAGAGGCGTCTGGCAAGACGTGATCTGGATTTAATTCGGAGTCCAGGATGTTCATCGCGTCCTTGAAGACGGTCTTATTCAAGATGGACTTCCCGATGAGAAAGTTCTCCGTCTTCGAGGCGTGAAGCTGCAACCGGACAGGGATACCGATCGATTCATATTTACGGACAAGGCGTGGATAACGAGGAACAAAACGTTCCTCTTTAGTAAAAGATCGATGCTTACGAAGTCGGGGTTGATGCCGCCAATTATGATGTTCGGCTTTTCCAGCAATGTCCCACTGCCATTTAACTTGAAGAGGAAGCCGGCATTTACGAGCGCGTGGGCGTTCTGTGCTCTGGGCATTATCTGTCAGGCGCAAATATTCATTTGGGCTTGCAGTGACGTAAATGATGATTCGGCCAACTGTAACGGCATAGTAATCGATTGCTGTTACGTACCTTATAGGACCTGAATTCGTACTCCTTGCTCATTGCCGGCAGGACCACGCTATATATGACTTTGCGCTCCATTTTGGTTTTCAAGAATTCCAGGAACGTCATGTTGCACTTCGAGCTAGGATTCTCTACTGTAAAAAAACAAGAACATCTTACTTTGAACCGAGATGGTTAAGGTGAAGTGAAACACCCTGCAAATCAGTCGCTTTGAATACAACACTTTTTTGTTAAGGGTATTCGACCGAACAGTCCGAAACTTTGACACATCATACCTGAGCATCTAAGAATTGTCCTGACACATTCAAAATTTGGATTTTTGGAAGAAATTTTTTAACTCAGCCCAGACCAAAATCAAAATGGCGTCGAGCTCTCATTTTTCGATCAATATACAATTATCGAAAAATCCAAATTTTGAATGTGTCAGGACAATTCTTAGATGATCACGAGTCACGTGACAAAGTTTCGGACAGTTTGGTCCAATACTCTTAAAAAAAGTGTATTCGAATCGATTGATTCGAAGGAGGTTTCACTTCACCTTAAGTCATGAAGTATTCATGATTTCCGATTGATACAATTTTTCCGAGTATTGCATGAAAAAAAATGTGCTTTTCTAAGGAATAAATCGATATCGTCTAGGGAGATTTATGTGGGAGCAGGGTCCCCTTATGCATGTATTTCGATGTAATAAATCGTAACATTGGCTCGTATCTCGAAGGTTGGAGTTACGTTTCGGTCTTGGTACTTACATACGTGCAATTGAGCTCCTGCTGTTTCTAACAGGAGAAAGAGATCCGAAGGGAATTCGCGATGACGGTGTTTAATCATTAAGTTGCCAGCTATGGTGCCGATCTAAAATGTAGGCCAAATGGCCACCAAATACAATTAGTCGAAATTTAAGGTATCAGTGGCGGTACCGCGAAATCGAACACTGCGGCTGTTCCATTTCATTATCTTCCAGTACCATCCTGGGGCTGTGAAAATCGGAGCACCGTGCGCACTATCCCTTTGTAATTAATTTAAGTAACAGAACGCTCAGAATTGGACATTCAGGTTATATCTGCAGTGGCTCGACATAGAAATTACATCCGCTACACATTTAAACAGTTCTCGCAACTCGGGACATACCATTCTTCACGGATGCCGATAAAAAGTATGCAAAATTGACAAAAACGATTAGTGACGTACAACTTTAACGATGTTCCTCAGGGTTCTTATTTCCCTACAGAATATCATATAACAAAACCAGTTTTCTGATTCTTATCTTTTTAACATGCATCTATGCGCTTGTACTTGAATTTACTAGCCTAGTTATTTACACGCGTATGATTATATAATTAAATCCAGAATGTAGTTCACACTTGAGTTCAGTGACTGCATTTCGCGGAAAACTCGGCAGAGTTACGTTATAAGAACATTCGCTTATGTCACGTAAATTAGTAGGCAGTCCTTAGTCTCTTATTCACAATTTCCTGGTATCTGGGAAAATTGATATTATTGTATGCTTACTATCAAAATTGTCATTACTTTTAAGGTGATATGAAAGGGTCAATCTATATACATCTGAGAAGTCAAATCGTTGGTGAAAGTATTCTCCGAATTTGGTGTACCAATTCGTTTCAATCTTTACCACGGGAATATGGAGGCTTTAAAGTAAGTACTGAAACTCATGAAATTTCATTTTTTTCATCAAATATTTATTTATTTATCACGGACTGGAACCATTATGGCGTGGTCCGTGCACGCTTTCGTTGTTTCACGCTCCTTGGAGGATTAGAGTTGAAAATGAAGAGTTTCAGGACCTAGCTCGAACAATTTAGAATACCGTAGAAATGGAATATTACAGATTCAGATGGGAAAATATGGAAAATACTTTCACCAACGATTGCAAGAGGCTGGCTTGTCCCGTGGCTAAAGCATGTTTTTAGAGAAAAAAATGTAGTTGCAGCTGAACGTTACAGATGGCGACGTTGGTCCTAAACAGTCGTTAGAATAATGAATTCACGGTATTTCGTCTGTTTTACGTCGATCTTTTCATCATTACTTTATTGAAATGACATATGGAACGTTTCACTTCGTATAATTCTGAACGTAGACTGTAAAAGACTTCAATATAAATATAAATGTCGGTAACGTGACGCGCCAGGTAATGTTACCACTTCAGTATTCAAAATGACGTTCCCATCAAAAAGGGTACAGATGAATTTTATTTTATCGACATCGATTAAATTTCTCAGCGCCTTTCATATCATCTTAATGTCAAAATTGTCGTTGCTTTTAATCACGAATCGTTGAAGCGAATAACAAAATTCGTCTTACGTTACGAATGGCCACGCTGGCGACGAGGTCGATGTGTTTGGCCAAATGCTGCAAATATTCGAAGCCTTGATCCTTGGAGAATTTCTCGAAATTCTTCATGGCGTCTGTGAGGGTTACATTCGCACCGAGGACCAAGGAGCTGCTATCCTTTTCCACCCGATGTAGGTCAGGAATGTCATTTATGTCCACATAAATTTCAGGCTTTTCCAGACGGTAAACGCCTAGTATGCGAAATAGGTTGGTTATACGTCTACATATGGCGAAATATTTACGTTCTAAACGGGGTGTATATGATACACCCAGGATGTACTGCATAACATTGAATTCATATCGCGAAATCCGGGGAATCGCCGGTTAAATTTTACAGCTTCCCAATACCCCCGCGTAGTCGAAAAGATGAATTTTAATTTATCGACGTGGATTAAATTTCTCAGCTCCTCTCATATCATCTTAATTATTTTGATTCTGCTTCCAGTATAAGACATTCGGGTCATGTCTGACTTGACTGAACTGCATAGCAATATGTTCGGTGAAATTTAAACTATTAATAAAGTTATTTTCATTTCTTTAAAGTAAACTTCTTTCAGGGCACTCACCATGAGCCGTGTTTCCCCCGTTTAGGACGTACGTAGAGTTGGGGTGCTTTGCAAGGATATCAAACAGGCCTTGAATTGTGGATGTCTTGTAGAATTCGGCGTTTTTTAATTTGATGTGGATGGGTTGGGTGGAATCGATGTATCGAGAATTCTCACAGGTGCCGGTACAAGGCTCCTGAGTTTTCGGGCAGATATTCAGCCTGTACAGTTCCTGGAGGAGCATCCTTTTAATTAGATTGGTAAGTTCCCTTCCGGCAGATTAAAGGAGCTCGAAAGCGCTAACCTCTATGTCCTGGATGTTCTTTTTCATCGTCGGATGGGCATCCTTGGCGAAGCTCTTGAAGGCGTCCAGAATGGGTCTGTATCCTGTGCATCGGCAAATGTTGCTCCCAAATGAATTTTCCACTTCCTTCATGGTGATTCCCTCCCTTTGCAGGAGGCTGCCGAGAGTAATTAGGAGGGCGCGATTAATTCTTTGGTCGATGTCGGGGTGTACCCGAAACTCACCTGTACATGTTCATGACCATCCCGGGCGAGCAGAATCCGCACTGAGAGCCGTTCATCTCGGCCAAAGTTGCTTGGATTGGGTGATACTTTAATTTTTTACCACCGATTCCTTCGATGGTTTTAATGGCCCATCTGTAAGCATGATATTTTCGTTTCCGCATACTCAATGCATTTGGCCGCAAATTGGATTACCGCACGCTCATGGAAGAAAGTGTTATCGTCATGCACGCAGAAAAATAATATTGTAATCATTACATATGCTCGCGGGTCAAAGTATCGTTGGAACCTTAACAACAATTATTGTAGATGTAATTACAATTTTTTGTCCTTTTTACCATTGCGGCTGGAGCACCAACTGTGGAATTCTTGTAAATAAATTGTTGTTATATTTGCATCTGACAGGGTTACATGTATAACATTGGAAAGTAAAAATTACACGTATAAAGGCACGGGTAAAAATGACCATCACGGTTGTAAAATTTCAAAACAAGAACTCTATTGAAAACCGTATAATATACCGTAGCACTAGTAATTTTTACAAGCGTGAACTGTTATTGTTCCTATTGTGCGTTTAAGACGCAATATACACGTGTACAAGACGTACAAGACGTAATATACACATGTCGCTATTGTATTTTCTAGCTACCCCAACGGTAATAAATGCATTGCTGTATGTTACTTTTTACATGTATCAACCAGTTAGGGTACACTAGCGAACGTTATCATATAGACATGTTATGTGGTAACCATAGCTTCAGTTGACGAATTTATGCTGTCACGATTGTAAGTATAACTGTCGTATCGTTGTAGCTGTAATCAGTCTTTGTAATAACGTGTACCACAATGAAATTGTACATTTGACATTTTTAGCAGAGTAATCATTACTTTGTCAAACTGCTGTCCTTATATTTCCCAGCGATTGCTGTTATATCTATCCCAATTGTAGTAATTATAACAGCTTTTTTCTCTCCGTGTGCCATGATTTTGCCAGGAAGTGGTGTGACTTCATTTTTATTTATTTTCCTGTTCATGATGTATCTTATACGGTAAATGGAGCTGACTATCGGTACTATCGTTCCTGCGATCAGCTTCGTTATATGATTTACTGTTATTCTATTATTTACAAATCCATGCTTATAAATTATTTTAGACTTACCCGTTACAGTTGAAGATTGGTACAAGACAAGAATTTACTGCTAAGATTTCGCCATTTATTTCGGCAGCAACTATACATGCTCCACATCCTCCCTCGAGGCACATAGCTTTTGTACCTTTGAGTTTTGCGTTTTCACGGATAAACGTATTAAGGGTCGTGCCAGGTGGTATCTCTCCGGCAACTGAAAATCACGTTAAATGCACTCCAATTACATATTTTTCGGATTTCACGAGGTACACGCATTTTGTGCATTTTATGAATCTTCAAAAAATTACTTTTCTTGCAGATTTGTATCGGTAAGTGCAACTGACAAAACACGAAACGAGACAGATTTGTTTGAATAATGTCACAAGCAGCTCTATCTACCAAAAGTGTATCCAAATTTCGGAAATAATTTCATCGGCATAAAGGGAATGCCAAAAATCGTTAAGTCATTTTAATTAATTCCAAATATTTCGGGCGAATATACCGTGATTATGAGCACATCGTATTGCATTGAAACCATTAAAATTGTTTTCAATAAACCGTGTTTGTAGCGTTTTCAGTTCCGAAACGAGATTTAAGGATAATTGGTGAGGTTATAACGTTCCGGTCCAATAATAAAGGGAACAATTGTGTGTAAAGGAAAAAGCAGGTTACTAAAATCATTCTTTTGAATTCGCTAATTCGTAACTGACCTGTGTATGGTTTGCCATTGATGGTGAGTCGAACCTCCGCCTTAATATCTCTGCAACAGGAAAAGCTCGGTTTAATGAATGCTACATTGCTTATCGAATTTGTCACGTGTCGGATAACGGAAAACGAGACCGAAGCTATTGATGAAATTGCAGCCGTACTCGCTGCCATATAGAAAGGAAAGATAGCAGCATACAATTTCTTCACGGAGTTTACGGACGGAGTTTCTTTTCGGATTACTATTGATGTATGCGGATCAAGTACAAAGACTTCGAAATTGTGATCTAATTTTAGGAGAATTAATAAAAATGCCTAATTAATGACTCACCAAGTCGCATGGGAAACGCTAGAGGTCGGTTTCTATCCGAGTGGGAATATTTCCCTTTCCAAAAATTCTGTTCCCTTTCGTTTAAAGAGACAAAGACGAAATCGGAGTGAAAGTTGCCCAGCAGTTTACGGTCTCGGACCGGCGACTTTCAGGGGCAGTTAAATAACCGAGAGTAAATTTAGCACCGATCTGTGTACGTGAAGGTAGAGCCATATCGAGTCTTTTCTCACAGCATCAATCTAAACTAGGTTGCGATATTATCAGACATATACCAAACTTTCAGAAACAAAATGAAACACATTCTTAATGTCCACGTCATTGCTGATATACTGTCATTCATTGTCGAGGCACTGTCGTTCATTGCCGATTCGAATACAAGTATTTTTTAAATATTATCTTCCGAATACATTATAAACGTTTTAAATATATTTAAAATTAAAATCGCACGTTTAGCTCCCTTAATGAAATAGCGGAACGAAAATATTACAAAAATGTCTCGTGTTTTTTTATAACAAATGAAGTATCCGATAATAGTCGTGAAGTAAAAAAATGTATTTTTGATATGTTCATAGGTTAAAAAATATGATTTCTATATATGTTTACAAATTCTTGAAACTAAATATGTCATTGAGATTTTTAACAAATATTTCAAATATCTTCTATATATGTTTACAAATTCTTGAAACTAAATATGTCATTGAGATTTTTAACAAATATTTCAAATATCTTCGAATGAAATCTACAAGAAATCTGAAAAAATCTGTCGCATGAGATATTTAGCAAAGATTAGAAAGAAAGATTTAGAAATTATTCTATGCTACTAGGGTTCCAGGGTATTCGGATCAAGTAATCCTTTGTAACATTTATTTTACTGCACTTTTTAGGTGTTACTAGTCAGTTCCAAAAGAATACTTTAATATGAAGGGAAACGATTTACTAATAGGATTTACCCTTAATACGCTCTGATGGGATAGAAAATTTAATTGGGGCATGAATCAAGAAAACATGTACGAGTGGTGGCAGATTATCCTTTGATTGCATGAATCGTTCTCAGTTGGCATGCTCATATGAATTAATTTGCCTAACAGATAAGCTGATGTGAAATATTGCTGATACTGTACGTATCGCATTAGAATTTCGTTTCTAATTGCCTATGTAGATCAATTGTTGAAATTGTACCACGTGGTTCAAATCCGAATAGTACCATTGCGACGTATTAAGACTTTAATGACTTTGTAATGAGAAATTATGACAGAGGTTGATTCAAGGGAATGAGTAAATTGGTTTCTTATTATTTCCCGCGCTGCATAGATATCGTATAATTTCAGATTGCAACAACGAGTTTTACTGTGATTTTGTAATGACTCTCTAACGAGAACGTTAAAGCTCGAACCAAGAAAAATTCATGCTTGCAACGAGAAATTGCAATCCCTGCAAAACATCGACCGCATTCTGTGGGTGCGTTTACACGATGTGACATAGTACATAGATAACGCCTTTATGACCGGAGTGAACATTTTATGGATGGGCAGCAGAAAGTAATGGTCACCCTATTAAGTGCAGTCATAAACTCACCGACAAAATACCAATAATAAAACTTTCCGAAACAAAAGGCGTCCTATTACGGGTCGTTAGGGACGAAAATCGAACGCGCTTCCTTTGCGTTAACAAATCGCGATAGCGCTGAAACATTTTGTTCTTCCCTCCTTTTCGAGATGCTCTAAATACCCCGGAAAGTATTTCGACACAATGGCGGAAATTCATTTTGAGAATTAGAGCCGGCTCTTGAATAATGAAACGCTTCGCGCAGCGCAACGTGCTGCAAAATATTTCACGATGTCCAGAATTGCGGGTGGAAAGCGGTGGGAATATTAACGATACTTGTCAATAGAAAAATCCACTCGGAGGAAATTAACCTCCAATGTATTTATCATTCAGTGGGAAGGAACATAGCGTACAAAGTGCAAAAGAGTTTCCTTGATATTTCCTTATTTATAATTGATTCGATTTACACGAGGAAGCACATGCGTTAGGCTGATGTGTTGTTAAACATATTCGCACCCGGGTTAAAGTATTTTCTCTAACCATATTATCAATTTATTATCCAGTGGAATGGAGAAATAGTGTGTTAAGGTGAAGTGAAACACGTCGAGGAACTTGATCGACGTCGATAAAAAAGAATTTTCTAAATACCTACGTTGCCAACGTTCGTTTTTTTATCGGCAGCTGTGACGAATTATATTGGGTATTGTACTAAATGGTATACTTCACCTGTCGTTTTCGTACAATAATTATAAAGAAATCGAAGTAAAATTCTAGAAATCCTCTGAATTCATGCTTTCTGGGGCCCTAATTGACTGCAGAGGAACCCCCTGCGCCATCTGTGATTTTCAGGTCAATTAAATTTTCCCTCCGAGACCTCGTATTTCCATCGTTTTAGCATAGAAGCGCATAAAACACTTTTTTTGCCTTTATTCCGTTCAAATGCGAGTTTCTCGATTACCAGAGTGTTCTAAATTGTCCTAAAATTATCCGGACCCTTTCGTTTCTCATATCAGAGCCTTCGATAATTGTATATTGATCGTAATATGAGAGCCCGCTTCCATTTTGGTTCTAGTCGGGGCTAAGTTAAACAATTTTTTCCAAACATCCAAATTTTGAATGTGTCAGGGCAATTCTTAAATGATCACGAGTCACGTGACAAAGTTTCGGACACTTTGGTCCAATACCCTTAAAAAAAAAGTGTTGTATTCGAATCGACTGATTTGAAGGAGGTTTCACTTCACCTTAATGGGTATACTAAACGTTTTCTTATTATTTATTTCAAAACATACGTCGGTGTTAACAGAATGTGTTCGCACGGGATTAAAGCATGTTTCCTAATAATATTGTAAAATTGAAATGAATTTGCTATGAAATATTGCTTCACCTTAATGGGCATACTAAACGTTTTCGTATTATTTATTTCAAGACATACGTCGGTGTTAACAGAATGTGTTCGCACGGGATTAAAGCATGTTTCCTAATAACGTTGTCAAATTGAAATGAATTTGCATGAAATATTGCAACTCCAAGCTACGTTCGCAAAACATCGTGTGTTCTTTTTCTTGCGGTTTGCGCTCGCGGCTGTTGCATCTCGTGACCTTTGCTGGCTCATTTCGACGTGCATTTATCTGGTACGTGCGTTCCTACGAAACTGCAGGGTAACCATGAAAAGTATCGAACAAGGCGCAATCTTCCATTGGTGTAGAACCGGTTCGGACACTTGGGCATTTCTTGCTGGTCAATGTCGTGCTCAATGTACGGATACAAAGGGACAGGATGCCACATTTCAGCTCCAAATGGAACTGAACCTGGTTTTATTTCGGATCACATCACGAGTCAGTCAAGACGACCTCGGTTATTTGGTATCATTAACACTAACCGTACCGGGGCCGGTCAAATGACCGGTTTCAAAGTTTGAATTAAAATTGTGCATTCGTTATTATTTTTTTTTAGTTCATCTAACTTTACCTACATTCTTATATTATCGGATTAATCAATTTGTCGATTTTTGTTTTTTTTTGCTTCTTTTTTTTACTGAAAAAAATTCATCATCTGGCTTGTTTACCGCGACCGGTCATTTGACCGGTCGACGAATTTACATCTTTCTCTGAGGTTCTCTGCCTGGAACTTTAGCTCTGAACTCAAGTAAGATCTAAAAGTCTGTACCCTAGTAGCATAGAATAATTTCTAAATATTTCTTTGTAATCTTTGCTAAATATCTCAAGCGACAGATCTTTTAAGATTTCTTGTAGATTTCGTTCGAAGATATTTGAAATATTTCTTGAAAATCTCAATGACATATTTAGTTTCAATAATTTGTAAACATATATAGANGGACCTAATATTATATAAATATTATAGAGGTAATATTCTAAAGTAAACGTTTTGCAAATATTTCAAATGGTGGGCTTTATTACCCAAAGTTACCTTAATTGTGATCATTGTCAAGTAGACTTATAAAACTTCGAACATACTTATAGTCATCGCCTGAACAATTTCGAGATAATCTGTCACAGTTGATAAGAGAATGTTCTGTCTTTCATTTGATACTATTATCACGTTATTTGTCACGCGGTGACACTTATATTGGTAACTTGGAATTAGTGTCAAAATAAATATATCCGATCAGTATCCTTGTGCAAGTATCCTTATGCATTGAATGGAATAGTGTACTGAAACTTGTTCACTTTAATTCCTTTCGTATTGTTCATGCACATGGACGTCGGGTGATTTCTATTGAGAACAGGTACAGTGATGATAAGTTCGACTGAAGAACGTTATTCGATATGTCATTAAACGAGTGCAGAGAATATGAATTGTGTAAATATTTTCCGAAGTCAGGAGAGACCCTCCAGTGGTTTAGGTTTCTAGAAATATCTCACGTTTATCGCGTGATATCCGTAATGAAGTGGAAAAACTCTTCACATTGCGAAACGCGTAAAACGAGTGCGGAAAAGTTTATGTACCTCACTTTCACCGAAGTATGTCGGAGACAGTCCTTTGCAGCTGCTAAATTCAACCGATTACTTTCTAATCCCTCTCTTATCATTTGCCGCTCCGATGCATATTCATTAAATTAATTGTTTATTCGAAGCAAATTTGATGGAAATTGTTTCGAGCCAAGATCAGATCGTGATTTGATTTTACTTAGTGATGGAACAATAAGATCATTTATTGAAAATGCCTACAGCTTCCATGGCATACATTTTGGGGAAAATACGGAATTATGTTAATTTAGTTTTTGTCTTCATTATCTTATCTTGCGGCATAAGAATTTACTTTGACGTTCACGTCATTAAATTTGTACCGAGTCGAGTTCTATCAATCATCAATTTACGAAGTGCAATTATTTAATTTCCCATATTTATTGACCATTCTCGAGGATAATTTCTATGGCGACGACTTGGCAGCAGAACTCTTATGGATTGATTCAGATTTTTATAATGGGGCTTGACTTACTTCATCAATTTCATTAATTGTGGGTACTTTAGGTAATATTACATGTCGCCGTGCACCGAGGATAACGTAATCGCATTTCATATCCCACGACGTTGATATTGTATATGATAAGAGCGATGGTAAGAATACGTGGGACGTTACGACATAAGAAATAAGTTCCATCTCCAAACAATCTCAATTTCAATTCCAGCGAGGGTTTTACAGGTGAAAAAAGGAAATCAGTGTACGAATGATTGACCGCATAGAGAGAAGTACTTGTTAAGAAGCGGTGAAATTATCGCAAAAAGTTGCAATCTTTTCTAGTTGACTGAAACCGCAGAGAAAGTTTCAGGGAATTCACTGCGTATAACTTCTGCAAGGCGAAATAAGAATCTTTTTCGCCAAGTTGGTACGTGGTACAGTAACGGTCATACTTGACGTGTAATTACGTAGAATAAGGGGAAAGTATTACCTGCAGTACTAGTACGTCTTTAAGTACATAAAATTATTTGCCTTTTTAGCGGCATTATTATTTTTCAACAGGCCGCCGTTCAGAAGACGATTTAATAACCGTTTGCCGTCATTAAAACGTGTTCAAGAAAACGAAGTCTATCATATTCTTAAAATCGATCCGTAATTTTACTGAAATATAGAATGACGAATATTATAAATAAAATATAACGGGTACCGCTGATGATATCTAAACAAGGAAAGTGATTCGTATTTTATTTCTTTGTTTGCTGAAACAGTAGGTATCCGTTTAATTATAATTCAAAAACCAGTTTAAAAATTCAAAATGTTATCGAAAGTAATACTGATACAAAACTGGGTAACATTCTACATTTTATCTTCGTGACATATAAGGTGCTCAAATTACGTCATTTGCGATTTTTTTTTTTTTTTTTTTTCCAGTGAAGGAAACTAGATAATGGAAAGAACAGGGACATTTACGTTATTTTCATAAAGGAATGGTTAAAAAACAAATAGCACAGTATTTCAAGGATCCCCTAGTTTTACTACTGTTTTACATAACTAGATGCTCGTTTCATCAATGGGTTACAGTTTGCGAACACGCAGTTTGTAATCAGCCTTAATCACTGTCTAATACCGATTAAACATCTGACAGTGCATCTTTGCAGGTATAATTAATATTCTCTGATCACTCATTATTTTAACGATACCCCGAACGAATAATTTGACGTTTCGTAATTTCTAATGTTCATTCGCTTCTTTAAGTTTACACGTAAATAGATTAAGGAATAATTGAATCTACATGTATGTGCTAGGAAATGATTTGATATTTAATTTATTAATGCGGCAGGTGATTTAAAATATTTAAAAAGAAGCCAGTATCTCTACTACGTCTAAGTTGACATCGAATGTTTAATATTTAATTTGAATACTATGCATGAAAAGGCCAAGAAATATTTATTTAAATCCACCAAACGTAATAAATCGTGAGCGAAAAGGAACTAGATGGAAACCTTACCAATCACCCGTTCCATTTTTTAAATTTAATTTCCTTACCTTAGGATATATTAAATTCGAAAAAAAGTGTGTAGGATTGAAACGTAAAATTCTGATGAAAAAGAGACTTACTCCACGCAGCATGGAAAACTTCAACATTAAAAATGGGCACTAATCACTTCGACACAACATTGTTTACATGCACTACCATAATTACTTATCCGGAACATCGTATGAGAGTCATGCATGACTCGTTTTGACATTTAACATCCTTACCCGACATTATCGACGCATGTGCCCATTTTTGTCCCGATTCGAAGATCACTGATTAGGAGATGCACTCCAAGGGGTCACTGATTTTCACTCGGTATCAAAACGCAATCGAGACTCGCATTCGTCACTGATTTTTATAAGTAGCGGCAGGAGATAAGAGAGCTGCCAGGTAGAGCACCAATTCGCACGAAACTCTTTTAACCCGTTCACTCTAGAGGCTTTTATATTCCCATGGCAGTCTCCCACTACGGCCGACTTAGCGGATAACAAGGCAATTTCGGTTCGACTTGTTGCGAGTGGCAACAATTGTTCTCTTTTACCGAAGGCGGTGGAATAGCGATTATGAGAGCCTCGACTGAGAATGTTCAACAAATCTGCGTTCTTAACAATTATCGGCTGTTTGACGGAGCGTTGTTCACTCGAATCTAAACAAGAAACGATGGTAGCCCAAGGGGGTATTCACTTAGGAAATCGTGCAATTAGTGCTGGAAGTCGCATGGAAATCAGCTGGCAATCATTAAGAGCCGTATTTGAAGAATGTAACACGTTTTGAAATCGTTTGGAACAGGTAACAACAATTAAAATCATTAGAAATCACAGGAAATCATTGGAAATCACGCGTCTTTAGGACGTATTACCCTGCATGTTATACTTGAATTGTCAAATGTGTTTTGCTCGTTTAGCTAACATCACGTCGTGATTATTATATTCTTCACCTATAGGTAAGGTTTAATATTGTTAAGTTTCTAGTTTTGCTTTCCAGGTTTTTAGTTTTTTCTATTACTCATGTATTCGTGATTTATTGGTGATTTATTCATGATTGTTTAATTAGCTTTATCAATCTTTAACGCTAACTACCAAGTAAAAACAACATTATTGATTATGATTTTCAAATGAAAAAATCATTAAAATTGATAATTATTAAATTAAATGCTCTTCAATGAAATTAAGGAATTTTCGATTGGTCATACTCGGAAACCATCGGAAGCAATTGAAAGCGATGCGCCTCAACTTTTTGCTATTATTAATTAATATTAAACGTCCTCTTAACACGTTGAGCGCGGAACCGATTTTGATGAGCTTTCCGTTTAGGCAGCACAATTCTTTATACATAGGATTCTTGATGCCGTGTCAGTCCCCAGGGACTGACACCGCTTAAACGGAAAGTTCACTGTCAGTCCCCAGGGACTGACGCAGCACTCAACGTGTTAATCTCGGGACGATCGGTAAAGTTTCTTCCAAGGTTAATCGTTTGCCCGTCATTAACCCGCGTGCGTAAGGCTAGATGTCACAAACCCAAATAATTTAATTAAAATAACACATACTACTTCCTGTTAGTTACTTTCATTAGGGTGTGTCATCCCCGCTTTAAGCGTCATGTCACTTTTTAGCTTTATGCATGCCGGGTTAAGTATATAAACGAATCGCGACGTACAGAGATATTTTTCAATAAACCCTTTTGATAAACCCTACATTTTTTACTATCCTACCCCCTATCTCAGTAATTAATTTTTAACATGGTCCCTGTCTTAGTATTATTTGTATGTTCATTATATGTATGTAAGTATTTGTTTATGTACATATAAAGCAAGGTATTTTAGTAGCATACTGGAGATAAATTAAAATATTCAGTTAACTTACGTGCATAAAACGGCAAATTGTTAAAGAAATTTAATACATACACGACTAGGATTATTTAAAGAAATTGCGCAGTTATTATTAAAAATCAGTAGGAAAGGTCATGTTAAGAATTATTCGAAACCAGAGAGAAACATGGTAGAATTTAATAGACATTTCAGAAATCATTGAAAATCATAGGAAATCGCTTCGAATCACTGAAACATTCCTGGAAATCACTGGAAATCGTTGGGAATCGTTAGAAATCGCAGGCACGTTGTTGGAAATCACAGGAAATCGTTGAAAATCACAGAAACTTTAATACCGAAAGTTTTAATGCAGGAAATCACTAACTAATGCATAACATTACCGATTTTCGTATGAAATCAATTGCAATCACTTCTCAAGGAATTATATTATTTTTACCGATTTCCAAGTGAATAGCCCCACGTGGTAGCCTTATCTATGAAGAGATAGTAAAAAAAATCAATGAATGGTATGTGATACGTCGAGGATGAGTTATAATCGCGCGATTGTCTCTCGGATACGAAGTTTCGTTATTATATGTACGTGTAATAATACCATTACGGTAGTAAAATCAGAACTTGTGATTTGTAATTAGTTTCATGAGAATTTCAATCGTCGAGCGATTGTAAGATTTCCATGTAATTAATTTAATTTAGAAATATACGTCGACGAAGAGATTGCTATCGTTCCTGCGATGCATTATACTGTACTTATTTAAATTCGTCTAATTCATGCGCATATGTGTACGTGTTCATATATATATAGGAACACGTACACATATGCGCATGAATGAATTCATATATATATATATGAATTAAATTCTTGCTGAATTTATGAACAGACGGATCTGAAATTTCCACTGAACGTTTCTTTCGATTTTGAGAATCGCAATGAAACTGTACCGATATTTTCATTGATTCAGACATGACGCTGAATTCATACACATATCTGCTTAAGGTGAAGTGAAACACGACGAGAAACTTGATCGACGTCGATAAAGAAGATTTTTCTAAATGCCTACGCTGTCGATGTTCTTTTTATATTGACAGCTGTGTCGAATTATATTGGGTATTGTACCAAATGGCATACTCCACCTGTCGTTTTCGTAAAATAAATATAAAGAAATCGAAGTAAAACTGCAGAAATCCTCTGGATTCATGCTTTCTGGGGCCCTAATTGACTACAGAGGGACCCCCTGCGCCATCTGTGATTTCCAGGTAAATGTTCACTCCGAGACCTCGTATTCCCATCGTTTCAGCATAGAAGCGCGTACAACACTTTTTTTGCCTTTATCCTGGTCAAATGCGAATTTATCGTTTACCAAAGTGTCTAAATTGTCGTAAAATTGTCCTGGCCCTTTCGTTTCTCATATCGGAGCCTTCGATAATTGTATATTGATCGAAATATAACAGCTGGACGCCATTTTGTTTCTGGTCTGGGCTAAATTAAAAAATTTTTTCCAAAAATCCAAATCTTGAATGTGTCAGGACAATTCTTAGATGACCAGGAGTGACGTGTCAAAGTTTCTGACAGTTTGTTATAATACCCTTAAAAAAAAAGTATTGTACTCAAATTGACTGATTTGAAGAAGGTTTCACTTTACCTTAATCATACATATAGGGTGTGGACTTTTATATTATCTTAAATATACACGTTCCTAGTGGACTTTTGTAAACATGTTAAAATTAAGCCAGAAGTAGATTAGGGAAAAAGAAGAATGATCTGAAACAAGTACGTCTTATTAATTGAAAATATTGTTTCCTATGTGTATTCAAAGGAGGCCTGAAAAAGTTAGGGTTATTGCCACGAGAAATTCTGACTTTATTCGTAGAAATAGAAGGACGATCACAATAATCGGGGAATCTTAACATATTATTGCAGATACTGAATATACAAACGCGAGAATAACTTCCACCGGATCTTCTATTTCGCAATTTATTCGAAATGCTGGTCATGTGCAAGCAGCGGAGCTAATTTCCCACGGCTGTGAATACTTTTTAATCCCACTGCATCCGATGGCTCATTTACGACCTGTGGGACAAATTTGGTAGCCCATCGATGCTTGGACATTTTACTGCTTTCCCGTATGACTAGGAAACTATTCATCCTTGGTAGAAAAACCTTCAGCATTTCGAACATTTCAACTGAAATGGGAAAGTTCTTATTTAAATTTTCTTTCTAAAATTCCCTAGTATGTTCAGAGCAGCTAATTTAACACTAGGTTTACGGGCGTTTTATATATACCTGTTTCAACGAGCATCCGTCAAATTGACGGGTAAACGAAAGCACTTTCTTTCTTTAAAACATCGATTTATTCAAATTAAGTCTGAATTAAACAACACTAGGCTTTACGTTTAAATGAATTATTAATAAGTAAAAAGTTCTTTTTTAAAAAATACCACGGAAATGATTGGAATGCTCGTCCTCTCATCTTCGGAGTCAGAGCTAGAAAGAATGCGCATCCTTTTCTTGCTACGTCACTCTTTCAAGAAGTTTTCCTCTTCACTATCCGAAGATCCTTCTATCTCTCCACTTTCAATGCAAACTTTCACTCTCATCTTCGCCTAACACTCTCTGCAACGAAGCAAATATATATGGATTGTTTATGAAATTAGCTAGTCCGTCAATTCAACGGGTTTCGTAGAGATAGGTATACTACATACAGATTTTAATAATTAGAAGGCTTAGGAAAAAATAATTGTGTCTCCAAATTCTTTGGATGAAATGATTAATTTACGATAGAAAAATGGTTAAAATTAATGCTATGGTTTTTTCGGTATTTCTTTTCGAAGTTTGAATTCCATCAAATTGACGGGTCCCGTAAACCTAGTGTTAAGAGTGCACGAGGACGAGTGCACAAAAGGAAAAAATAATTGTGTCTCCAAATTCTTTGGATGAAATGATTAATTTACGATACAAAAATGGTTAAAATTAATGCTATGGTTTTTTCGGTATTTCTTTTTGAAGTTTGAATTCCGTCAAATTGACGGGTCCCGTAAACCTAGCGTTAATAGTGCACGAGGACGAGTGCATAAAATCCGTCCCGAGTCCACTAATTTTCAACTGAAAATGTCCAACTACTGTCCCAGAAGTGAGTGTGCAAAACCTCTTGGGTGATAAATGGGGCGCATCATTCGACCGAGTGGAACATTATTCTGATTCCGGAAGCCGCGACAATTTCAATGATTTTCAGATCTCACGTTTAGTTCGAATTCGTCCCCCGAGAAGATAAACGGATATCGAACCGCTTGTAAAGTTATCAAATCGTATCTTTATTATAACAGCTTGCATTATGCTACAGTAATACAATGAGATCTGAACGTAACGCAGGAATACCATTTGGCACAGTACGGTGGATCAGGTAACAACGTGAAACCAGAATTATTCGCTTGACGAACTCCTCTTACACGAATACTTTCATTACGAGATCCTCGTTCGTACATTAATGCAGGTTTAAAACCCGTTGCTTGCTTAGAATTATTGCATTCCTTAAACGAACTAAAAGAAAACTATTGTGCCCTCGCGGTAAAAATTAAAGAGGAAACCAGTCCTCATGAAGTTTAACGGTAAGTGGTATACAGCTAAATAGGAAAAAATCTCATAAAGTTAACAATAGCAATGGCTATCCGACAATTGGTTCGCATGCTAAATTAAACCTAATTACGCTAATACAGTTTACTTAAAGGCATCGCGCAACACAGTCTCCGAGACTTACATGTGTTAGTCTTATTTAACCAGACCACCCAAAGATAGCATAACAACTAAGTGTAAACTAAAACGCGTAAATCTTGCTCTTTGGAATAGGAATGTAAGAACCTCGAGAATAAATTGTAAACTGCACGAGGCATTATGGTGGACGTCGGGCCACTAATTTGCTGCGATCTCTGCCTTGACATTTTCAGATTCGATTTTTTCTTTGAGAGGAGACCCGGCCGTTGTCGTGTCGGGGCTTTCCGTTTCGGACGAGTCGGTTTTACTGTTATCCTTGGTTTCGGTACTCTTGGGGGAACCTTTCTTGACATCTCGTTTTTCCTGTTCAGCTCGAAATTTCGGTATTTTCTCAGGATCGAAGTGACACTCCAGAAGGTCCAGCAGATCCTGCACATCCTTCGGTGTAGCTGCTATCACCTTTTCTATGATCAGTTTCTCAAGACCCTCTTTCTTCTGATTTGTCCATGCTTCCTAAGATCAAGAATGTCTTTTCGTTAAAGAATGACTCCTCGTGCGATTTTTCCATATAACCAGAATATAATGAGAAGTGAATTTTGAAAAGCAGACTTTTCCTTCAGAAAAATATAATTCATATGCGGACGTGCCTGCGCGGAGAATTGAATTTACTATTACAGGAGAGATTATGTTTACTGATAGGATCGGAACGTAGTTTATGGAAAAGATTGGTATTAACCTGTAAGAGTTTATAATCGATACCGGCTTCGGCTAATAGACGACGTAATGGGCTAGCATATTGACGATCTCGACGTACACGTAGAAGTGGACCGAATATTGGCTGCAACCCATTTTGCCGTTGGAGAACCAATTTCAATTCTGCAATGTAAACGTATGTTCCGTAAACAGGAATCTCAGGAAACGGTTGAACTTACGGTTAACTTACGCTTTAACGGTTAAGGTGAAGTGAAACCCCCCTCAAATCAGTCGACTCGAATAAGACTTTTTTTTAAGGGTATTGAATCGAACCGTCTGAAACTTCGACACATGATTCGTGAGCACTTAGGAATTATCCTGATACTATAAAAAATAGGATTTTTCAGAACAATGTTTTAACTTAGCCCCGATTAGAACCAAAGTGGAGTCGAGCTCTCATATTTCGATCAATATCTAATTATTGAAGGCTCTGATATGAGAAACGAAAGGGTCAGGACAATTTTACGACAATTTAGAACACTCTGATAATCGATAAACTCGCATTTGAACGGGATAAAGGAAAAGAAAAGTGTCATGCGTTTCTGTGCTAAAACGATGGGAATACGAGGTCTCGGAGTGAAAATTTAGTTGACATGGAAATCACAGATGGCGCAGGGTGTCCCTCTGCAGTCAATTAGGGCTTTAGAAACCATGAATCCAGAGGATTACTGCTGTTTTACTTCGATTCCTTTATAATTATTGTACGAAAATGACAGGTGGAATAGGTCACTTACTACAATACCCAATATAATCCGACACAGCTGTCAATATTAAAATGAACGTCCGTAACGTAGGTATTTAGAGAAATCTTTTTCACCGACGTCGATCAAGTTCCTCGACGTGTTTCACTTCACCTTAAACATACCTGCTAACTCTTCTATTTCCACATGCGTGGGTTGAACGAATTCGCGAATTAATTCAATAGTTCCTTTCGCGGTGGCATCGCTATCTCCCCTTCCACTGGCTTCGATTCCTTTGGTAACTTCTTCACCATCACTCAAATGTTGGACAATTTGCAGAGCGAGACGTGCTCTATCAACTGCGTTGCACAGCTGTTCATCCTAACAATCAGATGTTACATTAACGATCATAAATAAATGTCACCCCAATTCTTAATTTTAAATAGATCAATATACGGCAACAACACTTTTATCGTATATCGGCTTTATAACAACATCTTTCATGCATTCGGTAAATTTCAAAGGTAAGACTGTATCTAATGACTGCAAATGTCAGTATGTATGCGTAAAGAGGCGGACAAAATTAACATACCTTATCGAGGAGCACTCGTGATAGAGTGCGCAAAGAAAACGTGTTAACGGTGCCCGTGCACTTTGCCTCCGCGATATTAAATCCATTTGCAAATCCCTTAACGATTTGGTTAAACTTGTCTAGAAGATTGTATTTCTTCAGGGATTCGCATAACATGGCAGGGATCACTTTACGAGGTTCGTGATATACCAAGATGATACCGTCCACAGCATCGCCCTTCACGGATTCGAGCCAAGTGAGGAAGTCCGTTAAGGCGGACACCTCACTTTTCGTTTTCAGCATCTAAGAGAAGAGTCATTAGAACGTCATTAATAGGTTCCCTCAAAATAGGGGAAAAAAGAAAGGATTGGTATTTAATATCCAGGACAGGAAGAGTCGTTTGATCACTACCTTGTTAGTTTTGCTATCCTTGAGCACGCGGAACTTTCCCGTGTTGGCTACTTTAATATTGTGCCTTTTCCTGGCTGTTGGATTTAGATCCTTGAAAGGCATCACGTACTGGGCGTACGTTGAACTAGGTGTATATCCGGCAATTTGGCAAATCTCGTCTATTAATTTCCGTCCTGTAGCATCCATACCCCAGCCGACGAGTCGATAATCTCCAGGTGGAACGCCGACAGCTTTTGAAGTTGTTTGCGGCGAACTGGACTTCACATTTTCAGGACCCGTGGACGAAACCATGGCTTTCTTTTCGCAGTTGTCTTTCTGAAAGATAATTACAAGTAACTAACTTAATCCGTACCCACCAAACACGGTTATGTAACAATAACATAACCATTACCCCTAGTAGCATAGAATGATTTCTAAATATTTCTTTCTAATCTTTGCTAAATATTTCAAGCGACAGATTTTTTAAGAACTTGTAGATTTAATTCGAAGATATCTGAAATATTTCTTAAAAATCTCAATGACATGTTTAGTTTCAATAATTTATAAACATATATAGAGATTATATTTTTTAACTTAAGAACATATAATAAAAATACATTTCTTTTACTTCGCGATTATTATCGGACACTTCATTCGGTATCAAAAAGCACGAGAAATTTTTGTTATATTTTCGTTCCGCTATTTCATTATGGGAGCGAAACGTGTGATTTTGATTTTAAATATTTTTAAAACGTTTATAATGTATTCGGAAGATAATATTTACAAAATACTTGTATTAGAATGAAACGAAATGTTTTGTACCAATTAAAAAAAAATACCATTAAAAAAAAGTGTTGTTTTCGGATCGACTGATTTGAGGGGGGTTTCACTTCACCTTAAGTCTTGGAATTAAGTTGCGAGAGCAGATTGTTAAATGTACTCGAGATATGGAGAAATTTGAAATATTCCAGGGCGATGTGTTGATTTTCTGATATAATTACAAAGGGAAGGTGAAATTGACACGAGTTTCGTCGAGAAGGATAGTCACATGTCGAACGATGACACAAGTGATTTGAATCGGTAGAATCGCGTACATAAATGTACATGTATGTTGGTACTGCAGTTTTCGCGTTGCCGTAAGTGCTCTTTCATCAAAGAGTTACATAAAGGATATCCATGAAAAATGTAATAAATAGTCTGATGCACAGCACTAGTGCACAAACATTTGTCTATCATTAATTCGTACTCAGCAAGTCGTACTCTATTTATAAGTGATATTCAAGAAATCTGATTTTTTTTTTATACATTGCTAACAAAACATTCGCATTCGTTGAAATATTGTCCTTGGTTTTGACATTGGGTAAAGGCAATTAATTTAATGGTTATTTGGTGACAACAAACGAGTGTTAGAATAATTCCTGTGATATAATCATTTTATAAGTATCAGGACTGTGAAATATATTGAGAGGATGAATCTGCCGATGTATCTCAGGAATGTTAATGTTTGGCTTAAAGTAAGTAATAGAAAAACTTGGAAGGTTACGCCGTGAGCTATACAGCTAGAAGACAGAATACTTCCTACGTAAATACGTTACGATGAAATGCCGTAGCTAATTTAAATATACCTCACTAGGAAATTCCTCTTTATGATTCGCATTGGAAGAAAAAATATTTTTCGTGTTTTTAAGGCAAAACCAAAGGCAGAAACTCCGAACCCCGGAACTGGCTACTTAACAGAGAGAAAGCAGGAAAATAGTAATTCTTGCGAGATGTTAAAAATGTTCCCCGAGATCAAATTATTTCCATCATTTTCCCTGGTTTCAAGAGAAACGTAGAAGCCTTTAGACTTAATAAAAATTGCAAATCGACATCGTTTACAGTAATTTTTTATATTCAAATTGAAAACCGCCTTCTCGATTAGATTTCCAATTTAAATTACATACGGAGTCACCACACGTTCGAGTATTTTCTAAAATGAATTTTCATGAACAAAGAAGTACCCATATCAATTACAGACCTGTCTACGTAGGACTTATATATTACTGAAAGAGTAAATACAAAAATTCGTACAAACTGCGGTACTTTTTAAGCAACATACTGCCGAGCTTCTGAATGTAACAAACATACTAAAATATTTCCTCCCTTTGTGCATCGTCTACATAGGGCGAATTTACTCTAAGTCATAAAAACTACGTATCCGGAAGCATATATGCAATTATTTATACGGCATTTAATTATTTCGCCACAATGATGCCAAGTAGTTTCTAATATATCGTGAATATTTATTGCATGTAACCTGTAAGTCTGTACAGATATGCGATTATTTATACGGTATTTAATTATTTTCCCACAACGATGCCAAGTAGTTTCTAATATATCGTGAATATTTATTGCATGTAACCTGTAAGTCTGTACAGATATGCGATTATTTATACGGTATTTAGTTATTTCGCCACAATGACGCCAAGTAGTTTCGAATAAATCGTGAATATTAATTGTATATAATCTGCACATCTGTACAATACTCGCGTCCAAAGATTTCTCCAACGGATCGATAGACACGTGTTCCGAAGACACGTTATCTATTCCATTCGCAATCGCGGATATCGGCGTCTAGATTCCAGGATCGTTTTTCCGTGGAGGTCAATCCTTTTAGAAAAACTCACCGATTCGGGTTTAGCCTTCCGCGGAAGTGGCGTTTTTTCCTGACAAAAGATGCCTAGTCCGGTCTGCGCCGTCTTCGCTGACTTGCCTTATCAGTCGCGAGACTACTCCAGATTTCTTCGAGAGAATCGAACGCACGTGTACTCAAGTGTAGAGCAGAATGTGCCTCGTCGGCGCATGCGGAGTCGCGTTCGCCCGAAAGCGCGTTCCGATTGGTCGAGAGCGAGCATCGTGACGTCACGTGGCGCGTGACGTCACGCGGATCGCCGAGCGCTCGCGCATTTCCGCGCAGACCGCCGATTGGAGCATTTCGAAAATTATTCTTCCACCGGGAAACTTTCCAGCGGTTTGACCGCCCGTCAAGGGTCGCCTTTCATCCGGAAATAATCCCCGGGAAATGGCTCTAAAACCGCGCACGAAGGCTTTCCTTTTTTCCCCGATATCCGCGCTTTTAACTTTCTGTGGTACACGTCGCGAAAACGCGCCGAAAGTGTCGCGGGAGTTAGAAAAAGTTTAAACAAGAGGACCGTCGAAGAGTGAAATTCGAAAGGGCTTGTTGGATACCTCGGGAAGAGTCGCGCGTTGATGAATTGGCTTTTTCGAAAATGATTTGTGGGTGGGGGGTGGGGAGGAGGTGATGTGGGTGTACGTGTTTTTGATTTATACGGAAATTGATAGTTGCAGTCCAGGGGTGAATTTAATTTTCCCCCGAGAGGCTGCGGGAAAAATCGGAAAAGCTGGGAATTTCTTTCCGTTTCAACGAAGCTGTCGGTCCCTCCGAGCGAAATAAATCTCGTTTTGTGTCGGGCAAAGAAAATAATAAAATATTGGAATACCTATAAATTTGTATAATAGACGCGAATAACAAAGGGTGTGGTACCTCGGCGGGAGTTCAATGAATAGAACACTCCTGGGGGTAAGCAAGTCCTCGATTGTTTCCATTTACCATTGTGGCACGTGTACCTCCGGTTAACAGTCCCTATGCTGTCGACTATTTCGTTAAACCAAATATTTTTTCAATAAGAGTCTTTTTTTAATTCCGCAAAAACCTTGAAACGCGTCAAGAGTCCTCCTGCTGTTCTCCTTGAAGCTCCATTACATATCAACATTGGCAGGTTATTATTCGTTACAGCTTCCCAACAATACTTTTTCCTACCTGTCCTAAATGTTAGAATTAACTATTTTCTAATACTTCACGCGAATGACACTTTAATATAAATAATTACACAATTTCTGTATTTTTAATAAATTCAAAAGCAAGTGATTCGCAGTGGACATTGAGTACTTCAATATCGAGGCTCTTATTTTAATTAGTAACTATTATCCCTCATTTAAATAATTAAACAGATTATTCTTTGCATTTTATTCCTAATTTTCAATTGTGGTAGCTCTATAATTTGATTTAATTAGATATAATAAAATAATTTGGGCAATTTTCGTTTTCTAGAAGTAGCAATGGTTCCTACTGAAAACGGGCTAAGATAAAAATTGCAAAAAGAACCGATTAAGAGGTTGAGACGTTTTAATGTGGGGTAGAAGATGGAGACTTGACAAATTGTACATACTATCCATTGAAGAGCTATTTATGGCGAGAGGCAGTGCTCGAATACCGATGTCGTCATTGGCGCATTTACAGTCATTACGTGGCTTGCAACTAGACGTCATTACGTATGCACGACATGTCCTACGTGACTGTATTGCTCGCTAAAAACCGGTGTGTGAGCATAATTCATTAGCAAGAAGGTGCTTGGCAGGAACACCTAACCACGTACGTAAAATAGATGTGTAATCGCTACCCACACGCACCATGTGCGCGTGTTTTACAACGCAGCGTTTAAATTACGCGCCAAAATCTGTCCCGGCATGCGCTACACGAGCGGATCATTTAAATTGAAATTCTGATCCATCAAGTCGCAATTAACGAGCAAAAGTCGAAGAAATAGATTCCTGGTAAACAAATTAGGGATTACTTGGAAGCATTGTCGATTTCACGAACGAATACATTTATTAAAAATAGATAAAATGTAGACCGGCCATTACGTCAGTTCATTGCGAAGCCAATGTGACGTCCATGCCATTTACCCGGTCGATTACTATTTTTCTCTTTCCGTCAAGCCATGTGTTAATTATGATTTCTATACATGTTTATAAATTCTTGAAACTACATATGTCATTGAGATTTTCAAGAAATATTTCAAATATCTTCGAATGAAATCTACAAGAAATCTTAAAAAATCTGTCGCTTGAGATATGTAGCAAAGATTACAAAGAAATATTTAGAAATTATTCTATGCTACTAGGGTTGGATAGGACTTTTGGCGGAACGCTTATTCGATTTACTTGAATGATTTACAATCTGTCATGTCATTGTATGGCAAAATTGACGCGAAGACCAGCGCGAGGAAGTCCGGACAAGAGGAGGTTCGACTATCTTAACGTTTTAGCAGATGCACTCACAGGCTCCGAAGGCGAGGATCGACCTATGGATTCTGGCGATCACGTCCTCGGGAATCCGCAGTATCTGTGGGATTAATGGAAGGTTGTATCATCGGTCTTGGAATATCCGATCCGCGGCTTGTTTCACTTCCCGTAGTGACAAAATTGACGGCACGCGATCCGGCACTGTTTCTCACCAACAATCGACTCTACACGTTTCAACTGTCGCACGCTTCGCCTGCTGATAACAGCTCTGCTCGACAAGCCAGATTTATATGCCGTGTTTGTCTACGTGAGTAACGTAGAAGAATAATACCAGATAAGAATGCAGCCGTCATTGAGGTCACTACCTGCATCGCTCTCGTTGCCGAGGATGTGCCCCTCCGACTGCTACGGAATTGCGGGACGTCATCTGGAGGAACACGAAGACCTTCTGCGAGCCGCAAGGAGATTCCTACAAATCAGTCCAAGGCCTCCGATAGACGCGTTCTCAAATACGGCAGTAATTACCCAGAGCCGTCTTGGACTGGTGGAATTCCGTTTTCGAAAGCCTTCGAGGAAGATTAGATATTAGTCACTAAATTATTAGAAGTTTGCCGAGTGTTAGGTTCAAAGTAATCATAGTTTATAGATAAGATGATATGAAAGGCGCTGAGAAATTTAATCGACCTAGATAAAAGAAAATTCATCTGTACCCTTTTTAGTAGTAATGCCGTTTTGAATACTTACGACAATTATATTTATGTTGAAGTCTTTTACTGTCTACGTTGAGAGTTATACGAACTGAAGCGTTCCATATGTCATTTCGGTAAAGTAATGACAAAAAGATGGATGTAAAACTGTCGAAATCCTGGGAATTCATTATTCTAACGACTGTGTAGGTATAAAATTGACCTCTAGGACTCTCTTTCGGTTCATTCTTTGGAATTTATATTGCACGCGTATTCACCGAGCGACGATTATCGCGAAAATCCGCGATAAGGACGCTGATCGCGAAGGGATGAACACTTGTTTTTCGTTTTCTTTCTTGATTTTACATTTTCTGGATTTTTCTTCCCGGGTCTTGATTTCTTCTCTCTTGCTGAGCGTCAATGGCGTAACTACAAAGGAGCTTTTACGGAGCACGGCCTGACGGCCACCCAGTGGCAAAGAAGGATTGTAGCATGAATCCTGTAACGGTGAGCTCGAGTTGTAGACGAAAAAAAAAAGAGAGAGAGAAAAGGAGAATTTCTCAAAGGAGACTCTACCCACTTGAGAAGATCATGGCCGCCTTGAAAACGGTCTGTCGATACTGGATTGATGGATATTGGATCGGGATGAGCGGTTCGTTTCCGCGGAATAGGGAACTAGAATATTGAGTGATTTCTTTCTACTTGAAGAAATCAACTATGCCTCCGGTTTTAGTCAAGATACAATATATAAAATAAATAATTTCCCGATGCAACTGAAGGTACTCATTGGACCATTGAAGTAAGCATTGAGTTCCTTGAAGCAGTTCTCTGTTTGCAGAGTGTTCTGCTATTAATAAACGTGCATAATTTTTTAAAGTGTAAATATATTTTTATGTCTGCGAATGCTGAATGTAAATCATTAATCTGAATATAAACTATTAATTTAACGTTTTCGAGTAATTTAGATTTCTGTGGGTTATCTAGACTTCTATGATATATATACGGAAAATATAGACGTGGAAAAGATTTACATATATATTCATGGGATATTTTTATTATGCATACCATAGATAATATGTTTTCTATACTTATGTCCTTATTTGTTCGTCCACTATAAGTATATTATACTTTATGCGGTGCCTGGTAAAACATCATAATTTACACAGTGGTAAAAAATTATGATATATGGTCCCCAGCCAAAGAGGAGGTAAATAAAAAATTAGAGTATGGACGAAATTAACAGTTTTATCATGCTGGAATTAAGATATAAACATTAGGTATGTATGAAAAATGTTAGGTTACATGAGGTGTCTCTTTATTTTTCTGAACGTATTTTCAACGATGTTGATTAACCTTTGGTAGATGTCTACTAGAGCTATTATATATTTTGTATGCGTCAAGAAATAAATAGATATTTGCAGATCAACAGTGGATATATAATTTTCATCTACAATAGACATAGATATTTATATATATCCTTTAGATATTTTTTAGGTAGATGACAGACGATATACATTTGCTGTACTTATAGACCTAAGTTAGAGGATTAATTTACGTATATTCCACTTCATGGGTTGCTTTGGCGCTTCACGGGAGAACTTAATTTGGGACCGTTTTTCGGTCCACATCGAATCACTTAATTGCGAAAGGGACGTTGAAAGTGGAATTCATTTCAATTCGCACAATTGGCTGATCGTGGGGTTTCCATCTCGCGGTTTCGATTGCCCGAAAAATTCAGTTTCCCGGGTTTAACTCTACAAATGCCGAAGAAACGGAGGAAAGTTCGGCGCTGAGGAAACCATTTGCAGGGCGAATGAGTACACACGGGGTGGGCCGGTATAATGGCTTCGTTACTACAAAAAAGCAGAGCCGCTGCCCGCTAGCTTCGTGCGCCTTTTACCGACGAAGTAAATTTATAAGTTCAGCCGCCACGTAATCTTCCAGGACTTCGGTAATAAAACTCGATACAGAGTTAACTCCTGCGAAGTTTAGACCGGCGTCTCTCGAGTAGTTAATGTCTTGCAGGGAACTTTGAGAACTCCGGAACCTTTCACGGCCCCGTTTTGTCGGACGTTTTTGCGCATCGGTACAATTTAATTTACAATAACCCGGTCCCTTTTATTTTTTTCTCTAAATCTCGCCATGCATCCTTCGTCGACCAAGGCATCCTCGAACCAAGGTTCGTAACCTTATCCTTGAGAGAGTCGATCTCGATACGCATGCGTAGATCCAAAATTGATGATTGACCAAGGCATCCTCGACCCAAGGTTCGTAATTTTATCTTTGAGAGAGTCGATCTAGATACGCATGCATACATCTAAAATTGATGATTTACCAAGGCATCCTCGAACCAAGGTTCGTAATCTTATCGATACACATGCGTAGATCCAAAATTGATGATTTACCATGGCATCCTCGAACCTAGGTTCGTAATTTCATTCTTGAGAGAGTCGATCTCGATACGCATGCGTAGATCCAAAATTGATGATTTACCATGGCATCCTCGAACCTAGGTTCGTAATTTCATTCTTGAGAGAGTCGATCTCGATACACATGCGTAGATCCAAAATTGATGATTTACCAAGGTATCCTCGAGCCAAGGTTCGTAATCTTATTCTTGAGAGAGTCGATCTCGATACGGATGTGTAGATCCAAAATTGATGATTTACCATGGCATCCTCGAACCTAGGTTCGTAATTTAATTCTTGAGAGAGTCGATCTCGATACGCATGCATAGAATCAAAAGTGATCAAATAGTAATTACAAATCCCTTTAACATTTTCACTCCCTGCTCAACTCGCTTAGTCAGATATTAATTACTTTTAGATTTAAAAGGGTTACTAGGCTGCAAAATACATTTTAATTAAAGCAAGATTAAAGAGGAATGAAAAGGTGCTAAAAAGTGTTTACCTACGAGGCCGTTTTAATTCATATTTTATAGAGAATCTGACGTAAGAAATATTTTTAAATATTTCAAAATGACGGATTCTTTTTTACCGAAGAACCATGCCCTCGGTTCTCAAAATATTCTTTTCTGGTTTCAAAAGTCAATTTCAAGTATTACTTTAGATTGGCCATTCACCTGGAAAAACATAAATCGTGAACGAAAAATCAGGAATCTCCAGCTTCAATATGTTCACCATCCTGACACGTCCTAAAATTCCATTTAAAATTCCCCTTAAAATATGAAACGAACTAGCCTGGGTAGGAAATATTTCTTCTAACTTTTTATTTCTACTTCAACGCATTTTGTTAAAAACGCGTTTCGGAATTTACCTCCTCTAAAAGAATCACAAGAAAAATTTCCTGCGCTGTCGAGCATTGGCGTTTCCCCAGTTAAGGATCACCAGCTGAATGAAATGCAAACCAATGAATGCCTTCCCATTATTCACTGGTAATTCCATGTTCACAGGGAAGGCATTCATGACCGCCACCGTACAATCTCTAACCGTTTTGCTCCAATGTGATTATCCGAACGAACCGAACCGAAATTTTCAGTCGTTGCCGGACCTCCACCCGGAACGCATCTCAACCTCCATGTTATCTGTTGTTACTTATTGTTAGTAAAGTTTACATTATTTACAAACACCCGAGCACCAAACTTGAGTGCTCAAACAGTATCTGATGTACCTGTATACGCCACACCCTGGGAATTGATCTTCGCCGATTTCCATAAAACACCGAGCTGCAAGAAGTCGGAAGAATGGCGACGCCGGGAGGGAAATACGAGGCAATAGGCTGTATCGGTTAATTCGCAGGCACGGTGGAACAGGCATTAGGCGGCCATTCATCTTACTTAGAGGGTAGACGATGAGTCCGGGAGGCCGTGGTCACCCGGGACCGAAATCCCGGTAACCTCCCCTCGCCTTTTTCCAAACAGATATTCCTGGTTACCAGGCGATCAATACTCATTAGATGTAGGCTGCGGTAAGCTAAGTTGCACCTAACACTTGGAAACATTGATTGACCGATCGAATCCGTTTCGCCGACCCTTTGTCGGGATGAACCCTCGAACCTCCAACTCGGCTCGATGCCTCGTGTTTTCACCCAATATTTCACCCTTCTTTGTGCCAATACTCTTCTAAACCGCACTCCGACAAACTTACTCCTAACTCCTTCCGTAACATACATTAAAGGTGGCTTCACACGTAACAGTGAGTGCGATGAATCCGTGCAAACCGATCTGCACAGATTTCATTGATACGTGGATGACGTGCAAGAGCTTAGTTCAACTACCCTGAATAAGAATCGATGGAAATTTACATACATTTTTACACACCACGTAACTGAAGTTTTACATTAAGAAACGTTAAATGGAAAAATCACAAATCCGAAAATGTATAAATGCCCGTGACATTGTGTATGTTCTGCATTTCTGCATTTTTACTTGAATTAAATGTAAAGTTACATTGTAATTTTTTTTGCGAAAATTTACATACATTTTTACACACCACGTAACTGATGTTTTACATTAAAAAATGTTAAATGGAAAAATCACAAATCCGAAAATGTATAAATGCCCGTGACATTGTGTACGTTTTGCATTTCTGCATTTTTACTTGAATTAAATGTAAAGTTACATTGTAATTTTTTTT